CTATTGGCTAGTCTGTTCCAAGCATTCAGATAGTGGGAAAACATTCTACATTTGGCCTAAAATCAATTGAGTGCGACCTGCGAGAGAACAGCAGCCAATTTTTATCTGTAGTTTATTTTCAACAGAACCCGAAATCAATTTAGTTCAAGGGAAATACAAACTTAGATGAAACAGAACAAAGATAAACTAAATGAACTTAAACAAAAGAAGTGGATGACTAACCTGCTTCAGTTCCATCTCTGATTCAGATGATGAATCAGAAAAGAGATCAGGCGATTCAGGTAAAAGCAAGGGGTTCCCTGGAATAGCCTGCAACAATAAAATAAAACTATTCTTAATCCACGGGTTCTCAATTTAAAACCTTTTAACGTAACTGCTAAGATTAACTACCGCCAACTCGGAAATCTTCAGTAAAAGACGCTAATTAACGAAGGCTCCAAAGCGTGTTTGATTATCTCTGACGGACAGAAAAATAAAAATAAATAAATAATGGTGATTGAACTGAGTGGAGTGCAATTTGGTCTGAAATTATACGCGTGATTTCAAAATCTAACGAGCGCGCAGCGCGAGTTCGATTTGAAATCACAAGTATGATTTCAGACCAAAATTGCACGACACGAAGTTCAATTACCAATTTATTACATCCATTTTGAAATCGCAGAATTTAGTCAGTACTAATATTTCATTGGTCGAGTAGCCGGTTTGTTAAAAAGCCGAAACAAAAAGGCTTTTACATCTCATTTTGTATTCGAAACAGAAATGATACGATATAGAACAAAAATGGTGCGATTTAAAACAGAAATGATGCGATTTAGAACATGAATGACGTGATTTGGAACAGATGCGATTTAGAGCAAAAAATCGTGCGATTTAGGAATAAATCACACTGCTGAGAGCCAATCAGATTGCACGGATAGCCAGTGATTTCAAAGTGGATGTAATAAAGTAAATAATGCATTAGTCAACTGCAACCCCGGCCCCCCGACCGCAGCGGCATAGCGGGGATTTAACGCGGCCAATGCTGGGATTTAACGCACATGATTTAACATATTCGCTCCGGTGGCGGGGGAATTAACAAAATACCTGTTTTACCCATGTCATGGGCGGGGATTAAACAGTAATACGAATTTTCGGAAGCGGGGATTTAACATGAGTGACTAAAGGAAAAGCCTCGTTTCTCAAAGTTTTGTATGGCGGCAGAAGAGAGATGATGCCGCAGAGAACGATAATATTAAAACATAAGAGAAACAGGGCAGGAAGGCACAAAACAGCTTGCCCTGGTCTCAAGACACAGAAAGAAAGTGTATAGAACGTCCTACACATTGGTCGAGCGTTGCCTTACAAGGACTTCACAAATCTCATTTGAGTCTCATTTGTTCACCTCGTACGTAAACGACTATAAATTAATCCCAAAAGCGCTTTCTAAGTTTCTCGATTCCTCCCCCATTACTTTCACGATTAGAAAATTGGAGAAAGACAGAGCTGTTTCGCATCCCAGGGGGTACTCCGGGTAATTCTCGGTGGGGGTGTGCCGCCTAGTACCCCAAATCCTGACCCTATTTCAGACCAAAAAATGTCATTTTCCACACCCTTTTTCAGACCTGACCTCTAAAATCCACACCCGTTTTCAGACCTGACATTTAGGCAGAAATTATGTCCGAATTACAGTCAACCGGTCCTTTATAGCGGACACTGTAGGGACCTCAAATTAGTGTCCTCATTAGCGAGAGTCCGTAATAGCGCAAGTTTATTCAAGTCAAACTTCTGTAATTTGTTTTGCCGGGGAATTTAGCTGATGTCTGTGTTATCGGGGTGTCCGCAAGGCGAGAGTTGACTATACCTAAATGGCTTATATAAGGAAGTACCCCCTCCCCAGGTTTCGCCTAAGATCCCTTGCCCTTACAAGTATACCATACAGAAGTTACTTTTTCGTAAGCGATCTAACCACATTTTTCTACACTGGCTCCAGAGGTCCGTTGTCAGGAATTAGGTAAGAAAAAAATCCTCTGGCACCCAGGGTAACATTTTTTATGAATTTGAAGGAACGCAATCGAGAGTTTCTATTAACAGGTCCGATGGTTTGAAGTTTAAGAAATACAGAATACCAAATCGGACAGAGCGTTTGAAATCGAGCCTAGAACTACACTTTACTAATTCCCTGCTATACGGCGCTTTTAACAAACTACTTGGCCTGGGGAGCGGGGAAATTAGCGGTGTTTTAACACCAAAACAATGTTAAATTCCCCGCTAAGTCCCGGGGGTCGGGGTGCCGGAGTTTCAAATGACTGATGCATAAACTTAAACAAACGAAGCTGGTGACTAAAGCTGTTCCTGTTCAATCTCTGTGTTTTGATGATGAATAAGCTTATTAATTTAACTGTAACCCACAGATAAGAACTTGCCTGATCTCGTTTGGTCAACCTGGTTCTTATATTGTTGGGTATTAAAGAGGCAAATTTCTGACAGCAGGTTATTAAGCCACTAGGCTCTTACACGCGGGTTTTTCCTGTATTAAAAACTAACTCAGTATCACCAACTAAGAAATCCTCCGTAATGGAGACTTACAAATGAAGGCCCCTGAGCGTATTTGACTATCTCTGACGGACAGAAAAATAGAACTGTACACACAAACACTGAAAGTTTTACTAAATATTTAATAAATAAACTTTCACAAAAATAGTTGAGTCATGACTAACCTGCCTTTTCCAGGAGTTCTCTGATGGCCATTCATGCTCAGGTTTGGGGTTTCCTTCAATATCCTTCAACAAAATACAAAACAATACTTAAAACTACCCATCTCCCTTTAATAAAGTGTGGACGTGTACACATTTCAAAACCTTTTTCATTTTAAGTCCCATGCGGTTACACTGACCATCAAAAGACAACTGTTTATGTGACAACAACTGTGACAAGATGTACTAAGTTCAAAACAAGCCTCGCGTGCCGAAGGCAAAGATCAACAGTCAAAACTTGGCCTATAAAATAAAAGGCAGTCTGTGACTGCATGTGGCTACTGTTTTAGTTTTGTAGAATATATTGCAACAAAACAGGAATGAAAATTGTAGGAAACGATAGAAATTTAGATTGTTTATCCATAAAAATACTATCTTTTCTCTAGAAGGTATATACTTTAAAAACATCAACAACAAAACAAATAAGCAAACAAAAAAAACGAAAAGGAAACAAAAAAGAGAAAGACAGAAGGAAAAAAGAAAGGCTACTGAGCCGGATTCGAACCCGGCACCTTGTCAAAAATTATACGAGCACAAAGTTAATGTTTTAAAAACAACTGACAAACTATTTTTAAGCGTCTTTACAATTATTTGCTGAGAGAAATTTTTCCTAGCGAAGAGTTTGACTTCTCTTGCGTGATGATAAAGGATGTAGGGGAGGACCCTCTCTCTCCGGCGTTGCGTGACATAGAGGGAGAGAGAGAGAGGGAGGGGTAGAGGGGGATAGAGAGAGAGAGAGAGAGGGGCCAGAACTGCACTAGACACACGGTGGTTACGCCTTCTTTGTGTGGTTTGTTGGTGAAGAGGCGAAGCGCTGAAGGTCAAAAATTTCCTTTACGACTAACTTCAAGAAACGAGTGTTACCCCGTGGCCAATTCTTAAACCAAGTTTAGGGAGGATGGAGATTTACCCCCCTGTACCTCTCCCCTCTCTCAGCGGGATTGGAAAGAGAAACATTATCTTTATCAAAGAGCACGTACCAGAAATTCGCATTCAAAATAGTGGAATCAAAATCAAAATTAGCAACTCCTTTTCTTTTCTTTTGAAAATATATTTAGCCTTACAAAATTTCGCAGATCAAAGTATATTTTTTGCGGGCGGAAATTTGTTACGTAATAAAACAAAAGGCGGGAAAATGTCATCACGTGAAAAATCATCCGAGGTAGATTTAACCAATCAGCTCCCGCCCCGTCATTAGGCTTTGAATGACATCGTTTGTTGTTTTTGTAGTTTGTTCAGTTCGCTCTTCAACGGCAAACTGTTCAGGATGAACTCAAAATTGAATAAGAAAACATCAAGGAAATGTTACACAAGACAGGGATTCGTCTCTTTTTACTCAGGAATATGCTAAGGAGTTGTTCCAAACTCAAGGAAACATCACTTATAAGGATATTTCACGAAAGTCCAAAGCTCCGCAGGATTTGATTTGTATGGCGAGTGTTCTTGGAAAGTTGAAAACAAGCTCATGCTATTTACGCGATGAAAATCATGCATGGACACTTGTGCTATACAGTGGAGAACAGCGAAGGGTTTACCTGTAAGGAAAGTTTTTTTGGTGTTGCTTTCAACCGTTGTCTCGAAGATACAATTTTTTTGTGCGGGTTGTTATTTCAAAAACCAACGCTTCACCGAACTGCAAGGACCAGTATTTACCAAAGAAACGCTCAAGAACTAACAAAAGAACAGCTATAAAAGACTTGTTTGTTTTCTGGACTTTCAAAAGAACTTCACTTGACTTAAACTGTTTTTATAGGAGCCTTGGACGATAAGTGTGAAACCGTGAGTTCAATGTGTTTACTCTTTGCTTATTTGTTTGAATTGTACATGAACTGAACATCTTACATTTGCTTTTATGATTGTTGTTCGTTACTTTATGAAAAGGTATGAATTAAAATTGATTCAGAAATTAATACTGTGGAAATTATATCCTTTTGTTTTGCTAAAAGTTCTTGTTTTCACTCAATAATATCATCTTATGGCTCCTTGAGGATACGAAATTTCTTTTCTTGTGTTTAACTCCATGTTTTAATATCAGCTAAAGTTACTTGTTCTTAACGTTCTCAGTTAAAACATTTTATGGAGTTAGTTTAATCAGTTGAAAGAAATGAATTTGAAATGATACTTTGAATCTGCTAAAGTTTGTGATTTGATTTCAAAAGCAAATCTCGTGTTTTGTTGAGTATAAAAATGACAAAGAAAGGAAAATGGCGAAAGGCAAGAGCTGAGTAGAAATAAACTGTAAACAAAGAATAAAGAAACAAATTGCGATAAAATTGGAAAACTTACGTGGTAGGATGACAGCAGTCTAGTGATGTTTCCGTGCTGCTGTACAGCTGATGAGAGATTCATCACCTGCTGTGGAGTCATCTTCACTCGTTGAAGCTCCAGTCTCTCCAGGTGAGGAGCGCAGCTGAGATGTTTTATCAAGCTGTCGACTCCTGCACCCAGAAGAGGATTGAATGACATGCCGAGCATCTTCAAGTTTGGAAGATCTTGTTTAAATACTCTGCTGATGAACTCCACAGCAGGTGATGATGTTACATTGATATTCCAGAGTATTAATATCTCCAGTTTGTGTGTTGTTGGGATGCTCCTCAGTAGAGACTCTGTTACCTCAGCATCAAACACTTCACCGAATAGTTCACCCCAAACCTCTATCACGTGTGGAGCGGTGATAAACGGCATCGTCTCAATCAGCTGTTCCACTCGTGACCTGTTCACAAACTGAGCATCAATCCTCCGAACCCTGGAGAGACCATGACGCTTTGAACAACAGCTGCTGCTGCTCTCTTCACTTGACTCATCACCATTCATGTTTGCCTTCTTTGTTGTCTCTTCTAAACTAACTAACGTCTTTACCATTTTATATGGAAGAGAAGAAATGCTTCTCATAGGATTTTTTACAATTTGAGTAAAATAAAGGTGAGTGTTGTTTTCTTCTTTCATTAAGAAAAACTCGTCAACACTACGCCATGGAAATACATTCAAAAATTCTGATGCTTTCTGTTCTCCTGTTCTACTAACTATAACAGCGTTTAATTGCTGTACTAAAGTTATTAAATTATTATAACTTTGCTCTGTATACTGGTCGCTATAAGAGAAAAATATGTACATAAGTGAAGCGGTACTTTTAACAAAATTTTCCTTTGCTGCAATATTCAGCTGCTCAGGATTTGAAATGAACAAAACACTTCCTAGATTAGAAAGAAAAGTGGGGAAAAGTTCTGTTCTCGTGTCTGCTGAGCAGTAGAAGAATAACTGTGTACATAGAGTTAAAAGATTTTTTTGTTCATTAGACAAATCTTCGAGTGACGGTGCTTCGTTGTCGAAGCTGTACTCTCCGTCTTCCTTCGCCGCCATTTCCAACAGATAAATCAAGATCTCGCGCGCGGCTTCTTCTGACATTTCAGCAGCAAATTTAAAAACTTCATTCAACTTGAAGATCTTTTCAATAGAGTCGACTTTGAAAAGGGAATTGTTTTTACTTTCTTGGGATAACAGTTCTTCTTTTAGAAATAAAGAAGCCAAAAACTCCTGCAGGGATTTGTGAATGAAGTGCACGGCTTTGCACCGCTTGTGAGCTGTCATGTTTAGGAGCTGAAACAAACCGGCCTCGATCAGTTTCTCGGTCAAAACCTGATCCGACAGTTTACTGACAGGAAAATAAAGTAAATCTTGCAGAAGTGCGTCAAAGGCTAATTCTCCTAACTTACAGAGTTCTTGTTTGTGGTCGTCAACTTTTTCCGCCGGCTTTTCTTGTTTCTCAGACATATGATCAAACAAAGTCTCAATGAACTGAAAATATATCATCGGCCGTGATGAAGGTAGTCCTTCACGATCCCTCTCTTTCCAAACCGACAACAACATCAAAAGCAAAATAGGTATTTTTGCTACGTCCTGTAGGTCTTGTTGCTTTAAGTATCGAAAAAATTCCTTAACATCTTGATCATCTTTCAAGAATCTACGGGCGAACTCTTCTTGTCGCTTACGGTCGAAACCGTCGATCTCAAATTGAGCATCGCTGGAAGTTTTCAAATCCTCCCCTTTCATGTCTCTAGACGTTATAATAACACAACAATCCCTCAACTGCTTTTTCTGCCAGATTCTAAGAACAGGAGATTGCCTTTCTGCGCTGTGTACGTATTCATCGTAGCCGTCCAAAATAAGCAACACGTTTTCTTGGTGGTGACGAACGTAATCGTACAGGTTGTCAGTGGAAATCGGGCCATCACTCGCGAGAAGATTAGCATTGCTCAGAATGCCTGGGACATCGCTGAGGTTGCAAACATCGCGTAATTTGACCAAAAGTACAAGATCAAATCTTCCTAACTTTCCTTTAAATCTGTGCTGGGACCAGTCGAATGTAGCTTTCTGCGTAAAAACGGTCTTGCCGATTCCTGGTCGTCCGTGAACCAAAATGCGCTTAGGCGTTTGATGAAGTCTTCCGCCGTCAAAAAGGTTGGTGTAGTGTTCGAGTTTCTTCTGGGTTACTCCGCTGGGCTTCTTCTCATCCATAAGCCAAGACAACTGGGTGTAAATTTCATCGATATGAACGGCAGAGCTTTGGTCCCACGGAACGATTTTGACTTTGCTGTTGGTTTCATAAATTGATCGCAGCTGTTTCTGGCACTCCTCGAGGCAGAGAGAATCTGTTAAAGAAAATTTTACGTTCCTTTTTTTCAAGAATTGTTCGTTATAATAACTTGATATCTTAATAGGTGAAGAAAGTTAAAGGGAGCTAGTTGACCAGCACAAAATATAAGCCTTCACTGATATCAAACAGAGAAGTGAGTAACAGTGCACGTTGATATGAGGGCTTTAAAACACCAGAATATAAAGAGACCAATGAAGAAATATATATACTATGGTCAAACGTAGAAGGAATATGAAAAGGAACATTGCCCCACGCACAGAGCTTCAGAGAGGACACGCCCATAGAGGGGTACCTCTCCAAAGCTGTTAGTGACGTTTTTGTGGTTGAGTGCTAAAAAATAATTCTTATTTTGTATAACTGACCTCGAGAATTAACGCAGGTTAAAAATACCTTAGCAAAACTCTAACAGAAAGATTGAATGAAAGAAAGAATTTGACGCTTGAAGTATCACATCATACTTCTTCTTTGCTACTTATTTTGTAAATAAAAATAAACAACTGCGACCGTAAAGATCATTTTGTATTGCAATATAACAAACGATAAAAGTCATTTTCATATTAAAATAAGCGTTTTTAATCTACTGTATGTCTGGTACCATTTCTGCTTCATTGGATATAATAGTACCTGGTAACTCCTCCTTATTGGCCGTAGAGCTAGAGGGCTGTTTCCTTGCTGACGGGTCTGTGAGTTAAACAAAATAGCATAGAAATTGAAGTGAGACATTTAAAACAACAGTTATTCAAAAGAATTTGGGGAAAATGTTTATCAATTTGTCAGTTTTTTTGCTACCCACATCTTAGGTTCTGGGTCTGAATAATAAAGTTTCAACAACAAAAAGCACTGAGCAGCTTGTCTTGGGACTGGACGCTTACATCATAGTTTTTACTTAATTGTGGATGATACTGACATTTTAATTCACTAAAGGATGCCTGGTCGCAGTGTGCACAGTTTTAGAAAATATATTTATCTTTTAAACTTGCTTTTGCAGAATTTCTGCTACACATTAAGTTGATTCTGAAAGGTATCTAGTGAACAGTTGCAGTTCAAAAACATTTTCAAAACAGAACATAAGTCCCCCAAATAATTTTCCTGGCCCTTTCAAAACCATAGCAATCAACCAATCAGAGGGTAGAGTTCTAGAATGATCTCAAACCAGAAAATAAAGCCTGCAACGCAGAGAGCTTACTAATTAGGGTTCAGGGCTGTTACTATGGTTTTAAGTTGCAGAGTAGGGAATAGAACATCCTGGAAATTCTTTTGGTCCTATTTTCCTATTATTTCCTATGAAAGTAACCAAGGGTCATGCTCACAGCAGCCAGCAGAAATCCATGCCTGTTGGCCCTTAGTGAAATCCCTGTAAAGTTGGTTGCTAGTGTACTTAGGGCGTGGTGGGGGAAGGCAGGGCAGAAGGAAACAATACCCTATTAAACAACTGTAGTCTGCGAGCGGCAGACGTTTCTCATCGCTTATCGCTGCTGAGGGACATTTCGCGAGGAGGAACGTCTGCGACTCAGCGACAGAAATTCCATACTGATGACGCAAAATCTGTCCAGAATCCGGTCAGAAGCGCTAATTGGTCGACGGAGTAGTTTTATTGTTTTAGCTTTTGTTTACGAATGACAGGCAAAAGACAAAAAGCGGCAAAAGGTCAAATGTAAACGCGATGAATCTCTAACAAAACAGCCAATATTTGTGGAATAAAGTCTTCTCTAGAAGAAGCATTTGAGTTTTGCTGGAGCTCATTCGCAGATGAACACAACACTTTACCAAAATCGACCAGGAGAAATGTAAAATTGAACAAATTTGCATTTGAAAACCCATGACTACCGGATTTATTATGTAAACATTGATTTACGTCATCAGTATGGAATTTCCGTTGCTGAGTCGCAGACGTTCCTCCTCGCGAAACGTCCCTTAGCGGCGAAGAGCGAGGAGGAACGTCTGCCGTTCGCAGGCTAAAACAACTGAGGTGCTACTGAAAAAAAAAAATTTTAAAGTATCCCTAGAAGGTACAAGAATCTTGCTTTGTGGGCACGGAAGAAATTCATTTTAAGCTCTACAAAAGGTACCAAAAGGAGGAGGAGATACTCCCCTTTAAAAATAACAGAACTGCTTTACAAAAAAAGAAATTAAAGATAACAGGGGTGCTTGTAAAAAAAAAAAATAAAAATAATAATAATAATAAAAATCATCCCCAGAGGGTAGCAGAATCTTACTTTGTCGGCATGGCAGAAATTCACTTTAACCCCTGGGAGATACCCCTCTATAGATATAAATGGGGTGCTTAAAAAAACAACAACAACAGAAACAAACAAACACACAAAACAAAACAAAACAAAAACAGGGGTTTTATAAAAAAATATATCCAAACGAACCCCTAGAAAGTAACAGAATCTAGCTTCGTGGGCGTGTAGGAAATTAATTTTAATGCCTAAGAGGTACCAAAAATTACTTGAGTAACAAAATAATTCCCACCCAACCTTACAGGCCCCTAACAGATACCACTGAAGTTCTAATTAAACAAGGGTCAGTTTAGACTTTAGGTCGCTAAGTATGCACTTGCCGAGTACCAACCCACAAATCTTACTGCCTAAAATAGTATGATGAGCAGCCGGTCAATTTTATCAGGAAACATCTCCCTCCTGTCCTCCCGACCAATTTCTTCACATTTTTCTCATAATTTTTCTTTTACCTATGTTATAGTTTCCAACAGTTGTGAGTTGACAAAGAAAACATTGAACTTTATCCTTTTTCAAGTTTATTGTGATTAATAATAAGGTTTGAAAGTTGTGGCTGAGTATTTTTAAATCAACCTCAGTACTTAACCATAAACACTTCTACTGCACGAAAAATTAATTATGATATGGTTTAATTAAAGGACATGTCACCTACCTTCATAATGAGGCCATTGCTGAAACACAAATGAATCCTTCAACATGTTGGACACAAGAGAAGCCGCCATTATGCATGCATGACTCTCCCAAGACTTTTCTGCAGGGTTGTTACCATCGGCAAAGTGAGAAATACCTTTTACAATCACCCATTCAATCTTAAGATCATGTGCTGCAGCAAACAGGCCTGGAAAAAACAACAAAAAATGATTAAAAATTAAATTTCAATACAAAGAGAGATCAATTTATGCAAATACATCCCCTTAAGTGAGCGTCACAGCCAGGGTTGATCAAGATGTGACAACATAAACAGAATTATTTACCATGCAAATGGGTAGGCAGAAAATGATAATAGTGATTTTAAAAGGCAGATATAAACAGCATAAATAAAATAATACAAAACAGGACAAATAAATAGGATCTTAGTAGAATTTAACTTTCCTTCTGTATTTTATCCAAAGGAAAACATTACTTAAAATGCTGTCCTCCAATCAATCATTTTTGCATACTTTAGTATAGAAAAATGCGGCAAATTAAATAAACATCAGCTATTTTGAGAAAGATTGTCGCAAAAAGTGCACGCGACAATCCCGAAAGGTATATGTGGGTAGCTTTGAGTTCACTGTATATGTTCTCTAAAGAAATTTGAAAGAATGGCACAAGAGGCCATGGACATAACATGTTTGCGAGTGCTAAAGGAAAGGAACAAAAGTAGGCTCAACGGCCACTGTTGTCAGGAACGGTGTATAATTTGATCATGCTACCTTTCGGGACTGTCACGTGCACATTTTCTCCGACAACCTTTCTTGAAATAGCTGTAAACATCATTGGATCAGACCGAAAACAGGATCACAAGAAATAATAACCAGCGCCTCTATATACACCTTAATTGGTGAAGGTCAGGGACAAAGTGAAGCAAAGTTTGTTTTACAATGAGAAAAACAACACAACAGCAAGACCCCAAACCTGGACCTCCAGATCTAAAGCAGGGGCGTTATAAGTAAAGGCATTTGTACTGTTGTGACTTGACTTTAAATTGTGCAGATTTGTTGCTGCCTGTCTCGCTGTTATTCAGTATTGTTTTTGCACATAAAATACAACAGTTTGAGAAGAGGAATGTGATAAATTCTAAATATTCTTAAAATGTTTGCCTTCATGTGATCCCACAATACACCGCGTATTCATGAAAATTGGAAAAGAACTGACCCTGACTGATCATCATTCCGTTAAAGATTTATCTGGAACGTTTTTGCATTCAAAAATTAGGTTTTCATTTTTTAGTTTCTCTCTCTCTCCATAAATGTTGAAAAAGTCTATCATCACAGACTACTTTAATGTCCCTCAACTGGAAAATCATGGACCACACCATGTCGACAATAATCTACGTAAGCTGAATCAAACTATTAGGTACACATTTTCTGTTTGGCGCGGTATCAACAAGAATTTTGCAGGAAGTTCACTCCTATTGTAAAGAAGTCTGTAACCTGCCAATTATGTATTAAAGGAAAGCAAAAACGTTATTAATTTGTACCAAGTTTTTAAAACCATATAGACCTGGTGCGTATGTGAAGTTTGCAATATTCACCACTAGGCCACCATGCCTCTTGTAAGAAAACAAAACAAGAGAGAAAAGAAGTCATTTATCAGGGAATAAAATTTATTCCCTGATAAATGACTTCTTTTTCTTAATATCTTACCTTCACCACCGATTTCAAATGCAGTGGCTTGAGTAAAATAAGACATGTTTTGCTGTTTAGCACTGACTGGGTTTATGCCACTTAAAATCTCCCCATTACAACAGACCTGAACTTTATGATCTTCTGGATTTCTTAATGGAGGAATCCAGCCATGATCTGCATGCCTGACAAGACGCAAAATATCTCTACTCACTGGGGTTTTGAATGATTCAGTTGTAAGTTTAGAGGATACCACCACATCACCTAGCTGTAACTTGGTGACTTCTGGGTTCAACCCACCACAGCAGCCAACATAGAAAACAGCTTTGGGTCTCAGTACCACCACAGCATTCTTAACAGTGACCAGCGAGCCATCTGGAGCAGAAGAGCCTTCAGAACATGTCATCAAAGCAACTTTTAGGGGCACATCCCCATTTTCACCCATGTTCCCAAAGTACACATATCCAAGGTTCTTGAGGTAGCTTTTAAAGGCATTTCTCAGGTATGCAAAACAGGCTAAGAACTCACAGTCGTCCACTGTCAACAAAAGAATGTCAATTGGAAGATGGACTTCATTCCAAGGTTTTAATGTGTCAGGAAGATCACATTTCTTGGGAAGTTCTAGGGTGAGTGAAGGTGGAAATTCTTCCATATTCTTATGAGCACTATTTCCTTTTCCTATTAAGTTCTTGGTCCTGTGCCATGATGTCTCGATTAACAATTATTTCCCTAAAATGTCAAAAAGTAAGATCACAAATTAAATGTTAGATAATAGAAAGAAAAGATTATTATCAACCTCCCACTAACTTGAAGTAAATGTTGTTTCCCTTCAGATAATTTCTATACAATTTTACCCTCAAAAACTCTGACCGTATTTTAACCACATGAGAATTGAAAAAAAAAACGCAGTGAAAAACATTGAATTTCTCTTAGAACAATCGTGTTTTCTTTGAGCTTCTTTATTTTTTTGTTGGTTCAATTCAAATACAATGTTTAGCACTGCATTGACGAATCAAGCTTTGTTGCTCAATTTCTTTTTCAAAATATCACTCTCTTGCTGAACTTTGAGTTGAAGTGCACCTTATTCTCAATTAATTAATTTCCAGAGTATTTAATTTGAGCCATATACTTTTTGCAAGTATTTAATTTCATGGTTTTTAGCTGGGATTTATAGGGATTTTAAGATTTAGTGAGCATCAAAATCTGTGATTTTGCCCAGTAAGGTATGTGACATTTCCATTTCTCCCCTATCTCATTACCTTACTTCTGGTTATTTGCTTCAAACTCCCGATAACTCAAACTGTTTTTCATTTCCTTTGTGTTATGAGGTTCAAGTTATCAGGAGTCGACTGTGTGACAGGTGCAAATTTAATAACCACCCTCTTAAAGTATGACCTTTGCCAATTTAAGCTCAAGGACAATTTCTCAATTCATACAGCCAAAATAAAATTCAGAGAAAAACCCAATGTAGCAAGCACTCTTGCATATCGAGGAACTTTTTCTCTCCGTGCTACAGTCGCAGTAACAATATTTTTTTCAGATCACTTTGAAGTGGGTGAAACATAACTCACGTACGTTGTGCCGTTTGCGATAGCCAAATTAGGTCATAAATGTCTTGAACCAGCACAGCCACACTAAAAAAATCATGAACCTTTAAACAGCTGCATCACTGTACTCAGCATTTGAATCATGAAGATATTTAAATGTTATGCTTTTAAACACCTTTAGCAGTAATAAAAGATGACTGAATTGTGAAGAACCAAACTGGCAGTCTCAATAAAGTGCCCTTGTTTGACCTTTAGCGCAGCAATGTCATGTTTAGATGCCAAAATCTTATTGGATTGGTTCCTAAGCATAAACTCATAGTACCTTCAACATTATTGGCCCCTGCAACACACATCCAAACAGACAAAGCCACAAAGCCGTAATGATACATACGCTTAGACCACTGACATATGAGCTATTTTTCAAAATGGCTAAAAAACTAATGTTTACCCAACTATTCAAATTTATTACAAAATTCAATGTTCTCTATGATCAGCAATAAGGTTTTTGCAGCAAACACGGTTCTACTCAACATTCAATACTTGACATTGTGAATACCATACTCTGTAATGCGCTGGTCAAAAACATATAAACTATTTGACAATGGCGCGACAGTTTGCTTTAACGGCTGTCAAACTTACAATGTCTGGCACCCTTCTATTACAACGTTTTTGACCAGCGCGTTCCGTTCATATTTCATTTTTCTCAACTGTCAGGCATATTTACTGCTCAGAAACAGCACACTTGCCTCTAGAAATTATTCTTAATGCCTAACAATACTTGCAAAGAATATTTTGTTGAGTGAAAACAAATCAAGTCAACAACAGCTGCCTACTCCAAACTTTGAATGTTTGGTGGCAAGACATGTCATGTTTGCACCCAATTAGAACATGTTTTTTCCTCGCGTGTACACACTTAGATGCAACTGACGGTAAATGAGAATAAGTTACAAGATTCTTGCATCTCTTCCCCATCCCATTACCTTACTTCTGGTTATTTGCTTCGAACTCCTGATAACTCAAATTGTTTTTGATTTCACTTGAAGGTTCAAGTTATTGGGAGTTGACTGTATGATGGGTGCAAATTTAATACCAACATCTTAAAGTATCCTTTGCCAATTTAGGCTCAACTACAAAAATTTGTACAGCCAAAATAAAATAATTCAAAGAAAAACCCAATGTAGCACTTGCACTCTTGCATATTGAGGAACGTTTTCTCTCTATGCTACACTCAGTAACAATCATTTACTTAGTCATCATGCGCTGTTTCCTTAAGAGGTTTTTGCCAAGTTTACAAAACCTAAAGCAAAAGTTATTTCTTTAATAACCTTGACATTATGTATCTTCATCACTGAAGATTTTTTCATTTTTTGTCTGCAATTACATAGCAGGAGTACTGGAATTTGGTGCCAGCAAAATTATTTTTTCAAATTCAACTTTGTGAATAAGCATTCTGTGAACACGTAGTACAGTAAAACTAGTTTATTCTCCTACGTGTTTTTTTCAGTGGTGGATTCAGGGGAGGAGGGGCCCGGGGTGCCTGGGCAGCCCCCCTTATATTTAGACTAAATTGAGGGCCAAAGGGTGAAAAAAATTTTTGGGAGACTGCCCCCACCCCACCCCTCCTTATCGCAAGGTCTGGATCCAACACTGTTTGTTTATGCAACATACACTTTTCATGCTGCTCACTAAGTTTATTTTAAACAATTTTCAATATTTTGCTGTTCCCCTACAAGGAGCATCTCTACTTTATTTTTAATGCCAGCAAACTAGCTGTGGTCCAAAATCTCTCATAACTTTCCCTGGCAGTAAATCGCCAGGATATTCTTGAGGACTAACAAAAGCAAAGTCTTTCATTGTACTTGTATAACGCATCACATAAAACAGAACTCAGACTGTAGAGAAATACCATAATTTTTAGATTAGTATTGTAAGAGAATACCTTTGTATTAATTCCATCAATAGTCTTTCACTCCAAGTCATACCAACTGTCTCAGTCAACCATGCAGTTTAACTGAAATAAATGGCAAAAAGTAAGTCAGGGCATGGGGTGGGGTGTGGATTTGATTGTCTGTGTTGGCCCTGGGGTGGGGCATTAGAATGATCTTGTTCTCCAGGGGGAGGAGATATTTGAATCTTTCTTTGCTCGACGTGCACTAGGATCAACGAAACGTTTAATAAATTGCCGTATCAAAGTAAGCAGAAGCTCTATTTTCAAAATGGAAAACTCCATCAGGTTGAAAACACTCAGAGAGGTTTAATTTTGCCTTTAAAGGCCTATTGCTAACCCTGATGCATTGAGCTGGAAAACAGAATTCCCCAACTTTTCCTTGACCTTGAAAATTTTTCGTTTTTCCCCGACCGTAGCAACCCACAACCCTGATAAAACTTATCAGCACTGGGAAATTTTTGTGCATATTTTGACTGGAATGATTTGCCTGTGGGCAGAGAATTTGACGACAAATTTTTGAACAATGTCAAATCCCCACACCATACACTGCCCCCACCCCCGCTCAGCTTCATTAGTTAAAAGATAATGACTTATGGCCCCTTTTCAAATTACTCAGGGTAAGGATATTTGCTCACAAATGGTACATTTTTGTCTGGGATTAACCCTAATCCGAATTTTAATAAATTTCGACTTACATATATAAAGGTCTGACCAAGTGGGTCCAATAATTCACATCAATTGTAGAAAGAGAAAGAATATAGGCTGCTAAAGAAAGACTTCCTCTTAGAATGAACATTTATAGATTCATAGTAAGCAAAAACAGCTGCGTTCACTGAGGTCAAGAAGCTTACCTAACGTTGATTCAGTGTAGACTATTGTTCAGTTATGAAGAAGCTTCAAAAGTCTGGAATAAACAATAATCACATTGATCAACCTTTGTAGATGAAGCATTACCTTTTAACATTACCTTTTGAATGCAATTAAGTCCGGCATTAAGCCAAGCAACCGGAAAAAAAGCTAACTGACCTCGCAATTCATTGCGAAGTAGAAGAAGATGCCAGAACAATTGTCACATGTACGTTCACTCTTAGGTCCCAGTACTTTGCTCGGTCGATCTGCAAAAAATTGGAATGTCGATAAGGGAAAACTGAATGAGGAAATTGGATCGAATTATGTCAATTATCGCGAGAAGCGATAAATAGGTTAGTACAATTTCTATGGTATCAATAGGAGTAGTGTCAAAGTTATAACTTGTTATCGAAATATTATATGACTGAATTTTTTTTCAATGTTTGAGCCTTCCGTAAAATTATTAGCTCTATTGTCGGAAGGATCATGTGTGTATTGAAAAACACTGAATGCGTCATGTTGATTCTTTAGATGCTTCTTTTCTCTTAAGCTGCTCATAAAATGGGTAAGTTAACCTTTCCGATCAAAAATCTACAGCTGAAGGTAAAATGTTGATAAGTACAAACCTCTTGACTTTCCAGGAGCAAATGTCTAATGTAAAGAAAAAAAGGACAGTAGAACTGATAAGTAAAGATAAGTAAGGTCTCGGGGGTACTGTCACATATGAGCTGAATTTTATGAGGAAAATACTCAGTTTATCATTTTTTTATGCAGAGATCGCACAAATTCGCAACGAGGAATTATATAAATAGTCTTTCCTGAGTTCCTCGGGGAATAGTTCAAACTCAGTTCATGTAGCTAAACGGCTTCAACAAGCTCCAACAGTGGCTCAGTGAGAATGAATCCTACTTTAATTCACACTTCCTTGTCGAAAAACAGGAAAAAAAAGATTGACCATGATTGGAAGACAAACAGAAGAACCTCGTGTTTAGTGGCAATTGTAAAAACGCATTAATCTACCAAGAATGAGTCCAGAATCACACGATCTAAATTTGCAAAATAAAGGACGCAAAAGTGGCAATATGTTTTAGTTAAAAGAAGTTGCAGCTTTGTTGAATTGCACTTAAAACGAGAAAGAAGTCTGTTAAAGACTGAGAACATTATTTAAGACTTCTTGAAAGACTTGGACGTTCACGACGGTCACCGATCTTCAGCTCAGTGATAATTTTAAGTTTTAATACTGATCATCTTTTCACACAAAAATTCCTTTGCAGCTTAAAGTTAATGATTTCGAGAAGAAGCTTCGTGAAAAGTTGCATGCGATGTTGGCTCAATATACCAGAATCAGTTTTGTGTTGGTAAGACCTTCATTTCCTTATCATTAATGTCGTCATTTACCCCTAAAGCGTACACTGCAGATCCTATCTAGTGATAAAAGAAGCCACAAATAGAGAAGTAATTCCGTGATGTTCATTCTGTGATTATTCATTTGTGACTTGAACTTTAAATTTTTGAAAGTGAACATTCTAGTTTCAGAACGTCTGCTTACCAGCGTCACTGGGCGATCCAAATGTATGGCTAAACATAAACGACGAATGGGTACATCAAGAACCAGTGATAATACCAAGGTACCCGATTTCTCCTTCTTTGATTTAAGACAAATTAAGACTTGGAAAACCGAACAGTTAGCATGGCATTGAAGCTCTTTCCGATCTGCCTCGGAAGTGAGACATACGTACAAGAAGATGTACTTCAGTGAAAGTGTAATTATATTTACATCGAATGGGGTCAACGTCTGGGCCGGAATCACGCGATATTTTGGAGAGAAACAAGGGATCATTCTTGAACACATAACGTAATGTTATGCTAATGTTATGTTATGCTAAGGAGGAAAGAGTAATTTTAAGTCACACACTTTTCAGATGTTGGCCAGTGGGGGTAGCAGCGTATCATAATACCCATAAGAATTCACTGTAATAACTCAAGTTCTCCCAAACACCCGACAGCAATAGGAAACGTAGTACGACACGGTACACTTGTTTTGTTTTTTGATCATGGCAAATGCCATCTAGCCATCTAGCTTATCCTACATAAAACATAATACAAACCTGTTCACGAAGTGCAGTTAAGGTCTGAAGAAAATAAGGTGAATGACGACAAGTCCCTTAACGCGATTCTTTCCTGTGAAATAAGCAACATGATTGTAAGGCGTTCTAAAGTATTACCGCTGTGACCTCTGTCTTAAGATGGGAAATCCTATCGTTGATTTTGTGGATTCTATTACAACAACTGAAATGACAATCGAGTGACAGGAATTTACAAGAAAAATGCGCAGTCTTCATAACCAAGCAACAAGATAAGGGTCGGGGGGGGGGGGGGGAGTACTCTCTCAGGTATATGAAGCTCCAGCAGGGTATATCAATTGACTTTAGCCTTTTAGGCTCTTGTGAATTATTGGTGAAAATGGGAATAGATTTTAAACATTTTGATCTTTTAAAGGGAATGGTTTACTCTAAAGTTAGGTATGTAACCACAACATTTCTCTTCTATTCAACATCTCCTGAGAAGAAGTTGACTGTGGTTAAACTGAAGCTCTTCTGCAAAGTGGTAACAAATCAATCAGCTACTGAAAAGCTAAGAAAATGCATCAACGTGCCTGCACTTTATCAGTATGGCACAAAATAAGGTAATTAATTCTGTGTCAGGTCTGAAAGATAGTGGGAAAAATAAAACATGATTCGGTGAGATACAGAGAAGAGTCGCACGAAACAGACCCCACACCACCTCCCACAGTTTTCAAGAGTATCCCCCGGTCTCAGGCTTTACTATTGTATAAGCAGATATCCTCAATTGCTCTTATGAGTTTCACTCCGTTACCACGTGAACAATTCACTAGGCCTTTTACAAAGATAGAATATATCAACTTGTAGACAAAGACATGATTGTGTCTGTGCATCAGTGCACAAAGTAGACTAAGAGGTCAAGTCATGTATCGCTTTCATAAATTGCATCCAGTATGATCACGTCTTACTTTTTAAGCCTATATTAAAGATTTTACAGCAAACTCCTTTGTAGTTTGAACTTACGTGTAATACGTGAAGGAACTAAAAGTGAAAAAGAAAATAAGTGAACAGACAGGCGTTTTGGCATTGCATTGAGATTGGGCATTAACTTTAATGAGTCATGGGTTGAGCTGTCATTTTGTGAAGGGCTCTTGGAAAAGGTCTCTTTAAATTCAGAAGTCATGCGATGTTATCTGAGAACCACACATGAAAGACATTTGCAGAGTATTTCGCTAACATTGTTTGTCAAAATTGTAGTTTCGTTCGCTAATGCCGCGCTCCATTTCAGTAGTGCCTGCATAGCCTGCAGTGCAGGCGTTTTCATCGGGCGCGCGCGAATGGTTTTAATCGCGAAAGCGCCATGCTGAAACTCCCGAAGAGAGGAGGAAATGGGGCGAGTCAAGGGGAGGGGGGAGGGGGCGGGGAGAAAGAAGAGAAAACGGCGTATTTTTTCTTCCCCTCCCCCTCCCCCCTCTTCTTTTTTTGCCCTCACACCTACCGTCAGGGTTAATATTACTACTCTCCCCAATCTTCCTCTGTCATAGAATCAAAGATGGCGGCTTCATCGTAGCGATCCGATTAACAAGCTTTCGCCCACCCAAAATACGCCTGCACTGCAGGCTAGTGCCTGCACTGCAAACAAACTGGGGGCCGGTCCATTTAACATCTGTTTCACGATAAAATTACAGCTTGATTCGTAATGATAATTTTTTAAATAGGGTTCATGCTTTTACTTTTATAGTATAGAGACGCTGATTTTGATTTTAGATCTAAAATGTTTTAAAATATCAGTCGATAAAAATCTCACAAAAACAAGCCTATAGATGCATTCATACAAGCGATTCACTAAGTCTGGATACTGAGGGAGCGAATGCCTGCAGATTTCTGTAGAAGGTCCAGAAACTGCTTTAAGATGAGTAAATGTAATATTATTTTGGGTTGTTTTCCAAAACAAGTGACTAGTAATCAATACAATAAACAGGAATAAGTCATAAATGAAACTGCGACAGTGAATACTACAAACCATTCCGGCTTTAAGGAGAGCTGACTAAGGTTAAAATAGATAGGTAGAGTTTAGCGGAAGTCATAAGGATTGAGGTAAAGAACTAACTGGGTGTGGCTTTCGTGGGTTGTTCATTCATCGACATCAATCTGTCGGAGATTTCAGTCTAGAGATACTTTCAATTTAGAGTAAATCCTTGCTGACTGCAGAATGAAGTACCATGAATGTTTTATTTTCAGCGTCAGTAAAGATATTTTAAAAATATCATACGATAGACTTGCTACAAACATACGAAATGACGGGGGTAACAAGGAAGGTGTATACGATACTAATACCCCATAAAAAAGCCACTCGTGAGTCAGCGCTAAATGTCTTTAAAACTAGGTTGAAAATCAAACACAAACCTGATCATAAAGGCTCTAAAGAAGATAATGTGGACTGTGGTATGCAAGGGTTCCTTCACGCGATTCTTGACTGTGAAATATTCAACTTGACTGAAAGGGAATACGCAATATCAATACTGTGACCTGTGTAAATAATAAGGGGAATCAAATCACATCTAAGATTTAGTGGATTTAAATACGATACTTGACATGACATGTGCCTGTTACGGAATTTGATGAGAAATTACGCAATCGCGGTAAGTACGAAAGAAGCCTTTTGTGATTCGTTCCCCAAGAGATGGGGGGCGGGGGGTGGGGGGGGGGAGTGGCGAAGGGAGTCAATTTTTAAGACTTCAGCTTCAAGCTTTCTGGTTTAAGAAGGGGTAGTGTTTGACTTGATATTGGTTATTATTTTACAAGACGAAACGTTTTCAATGTTTGAACTGAAACGGCTGTCTCATTTTGAGTCAGTTCTAAAACGAGGTATAGACAAGCTGATTCTCTCTTAATGGTATAGGGTTACACAAAGTATGCTTTTGTCTAATGTCAAAGCAGATCAAAGCAGTTACTGGGGATACAATACTTTAACAGGGCGTCAAATTTTCGATCAGTTCAGCAACAGAGTAGCAAAAAGCTCCTAATTTGATCTGAAATAAAGGGAAAAGTTGCACGAATCCAACCAAATTCTTTGTCAGCCTGAGTTCTAGCACCTTATTTTGCTTCACTTCACATTTAATTTTCTGGCAACATATTCGTTATCCGCGTTCCAGAGGTCATTTTTTTTTCTTATCTAATTCGTGAACAGTGAGCACGGTTTATTTCATCCTAGATATTTCGAGAACGGACCTCAGGAGCCAGGGTACATTGTCATTATCGTGGTTTTTATCTCAAAGGTAGTTTATATCTGCTTCTCAGACATAATTGGTGATTTCTGCCCATGAGAAAAATAGAAGCTTCAGAGGTAGACTAAGAGATCAAGCCATGTATCGTTCAATAAATTATGAGCGTCTGTCTAATACGTCACAGGTTCAGTAGCAGATTTCTTTGGGTTGAAGTAAAGCTTTAATATGCGAAGGACGGAGATAAAAGTGAATATGAAAATAAGTAAAGTGAAGGAGTGAACTCTGATTTTCCCATTGCACTGCGATTTGGCAGAACTGTCGCTGTCATTCACGCGAAATTTTCCCTTCCGGAGTGACCTTTTAAAGGAGTTTTATCATTCTGAAGTTATAAGATGAACACTAAACAGTTGCCTTATTTCACTAACATTGTTTGTCAAGCAGGTTATCATTTTAGTTTAGTCATTCCTCGACACTGATTTCCTTTTAGACTTTTCACTTGTTGTGTCACTGCAGTTTGTACCACTGAGATGCAGTGTATTATCCATTTCTAGAAATAGCGTTCATAACTCAGATGCTTTCACGTTCATGCTCATTGAAACTTCCACTGGCGAAATATCTCATCTTTCAAGGAACATTTGCTGAGAAAGCTTTCGTTGATGGCCGAACCGAAATGTAATGGGACATCAAGAACTAGATATAGTTTTTTTGGTAACCGATTTCTCTCTCCCCAATTTAAGGCTTCTAAACGGACAGTCAACAGATAGAAAGATTAACGCCAAACATGGGAGATATTAAAGCTCTCGACCATCTGCAATTAAGTTTATTATGGCTGGTGAACAAGATAGTCTGAGAATTGTGAGAGGTTAAATTCATTCTAGGAAATACGAGGCATAATTAGTTATCTCGCCAAGGGGGAAATGCTTCAGTCGAGCTCCAACCAATTTACAAGGTCAGGATATGCCTTAAACACGAAAATGATTTTCTTTACAAAATCCACACACGGTATTGTTAATTCATAAGCCATGAAATACAAAATCGTAAAATCTTAAACAAACCTTTGTTCCAAAGCCCCGGATAAGAGAGGTGAGGTACGGTTGTATCGAGGGGATGCAGTTTAGTGAGTGGTTCAGAGGGCGTCTTCAATTATTGACTTGATGATGTGAATCACGTGATATTTTTGAAAGAAACAACAGATTATTGTTAATAGCTAATATAACAAGGCTTCGTTGTTATGAGGAAAGTAAATCGTCCAAAGATCAAGAGTAGCTAGCTAACGTGGCAGGCGTAAAAATTAAAGGGGCAGGGTAGGGGAGGAATGCAACGGAGATGCTTGTCAGGACTAAATTCAACTCCAAAAGAAAACCAAGCTGGGCGAAGCACAGGCTTTATTTGAACCATTAAGTCGACTGAAAACAGACAGCTAAGAGCTATAACGCTATAAGAGCTATATTCTCGTGTTTAAGATGTATTCAACAGAGTTTGACAGCGGGTGCTTGGTTTGTTTTATAGAGACAATTCATGGCAGAACCCCAATGAGAGATACCTTTGTATGTATGGCTAACAATCTTGGCTCTCAGCAGGAGTTGATCGTGCTTTTAGTCCTGCACATCACAAGTGAGGCCGAGATCTGCAATTTTTCACCCCTATGAAAGCGAGACGACGAGCATCCCGGTCTTTTTCTTGGGGAGTTCCCCCCCCTCCCTCCCCGAGTGCCTCCCCTTCATCCCAGACCCTGTCAACATCTGCCTCGCAGGAATTCAAGTGTTTCTCGGAAGAACAGGAACTTTCTCAGCTCCCAGTGGGAATCGACCCATGTCCTTGATCCGGATTACTGGTAAGGGTTCCGTGGATTCCTGTTTCTAGAACAAAACAGAACAGAACTTGTTTGTAATCCAAAGAGCGCCTGATAGCACATATGGTAAAAAGATCGTACGGACTTTTTCAATCCTCCAATTATAGCCTGCGAAGCAGGCGCGGGCTGAGGGGGAAATTTTGAAGAAGCGCGCCTAACCGGCGTCTGGCACGAAACGGGCGTCAGTTATATTAATTGATATCATTCTATAAGATTTCCTTTGACGCAAAGCATCTTTACCTTTTGCGCATGCTCAGTATCCCATAGTGATACATAAACCAAGTAAATGTTCATTATAAAGTGAAATACGAACAAAAGTTGCTGTTTAAAATGAAGTTGTTTTTCAAACGTTTCGGGCCTGGCTCTTCATCAGTGCTATTGCAAGTACGTTAGAACCGGTGCAAGGTTTTTATTCACTTATGAAGTGAAAATTAAAACCTTTTTAGTGCGCGGGGGCTCTGCACGCAGTCTAAAGGAAACGGAAGGAGCGTTACCAGGCGTGACCAATCGTGTAAAATACACAGCGGCAGGAAAACCAGGCAAGTTCTTCTCGACGCACCGAAGGTTCTCGCCAAAACGTTGTCTTTGTCTGTCGGAGATTATTGGGAAATAAATTTTTCAACAGGCAAACACCTCAGGAATGAAAATCCTATAAGAACACATTTCAATGATTCTTTTAAAATCAATTAGTGTCAGGCTGAAACTTTTAAACAAATTTTATTTAGCTAAATTGGAAAAAACATAGCACGGGCTACGTGATTAAACGTGCTAATGTTATAAGGAGACATCTTCAGACGTATTTATCAATAGTCTTGACCTTTAAAGAAAGCACACTTATATACATTAGGAAATAAGTACGTAATTCTTTGTTCAATTATAGGATTGCTTTCAAAGCGTTGTTTTCCATCTAATTACTTGCCAATATTGTTATTGTAGAATAATTAAAGTACTCGCTAAGTGAATGAGCACAGCGTACAAATTGGTCAGGGCCCAGTTGCTCGAAGCATGGTTAGCGTTAACCAGCGTTTAATACCTTGACAACGTATTGGTTTTGATACTGCTTAACCAATGGTTAAAGCTAACCATGCTTTGAGCTACTCAGCCCAGGTTGCTAAGGCGGGGAACTGACTGACTAGCGGAAAACTGGCAATTAGACGAAATCGTGGAAAAGTGCACATGAGAGAAACTAGCCTTAACCAACCAATCAGAGCAAAGTGCGGCAACCGCGTGCAACGCATCACTGATATAGGCTTTGCTTCTGATTGGCTAATGGAGGGTATAAACTTTTTCACTGTTTCTACACGAAGAAACTATTAAACAATTTCGAAAGGTTCACTTCAGAGTAACCATTAGCAGTTAGGACTTTGGTAATCACTGAGTGTACAGCTTTGTAAAATGACTTCGTAGTCTGTGTTACGCCCACAGCTAAAAAAAGAACAGACGAAAAGAATTTGAACAGATTGTTTAAAGGTCAAATCAAATAAATCAGTAAATGATAATAATAATAATAATAATAATAATAATAATAATAATAATAATAATAATAATAATAATAATGATAATAATAATAATAAAGATTTTTTTTATTCTATGGTGTAGACAAAAGTTGCACTTTCTACAACTTCCTTGGAAACATGTAATATTTGTTTTGCCAGCGGAAGCACAAGTTCCTTGCCTCGTACCCAGGTGCGTTCTGGCGGATGGAAGAGCGACTGGATCATAGTATCATGGGAAAGGCGTTCACCCTTCCCAGCGCCCTTTGCGTCAACGCTAAACGTTCCATGGCTCATTGCGCGATACTCTCGCTTGAAGTCGCGTGTTCCGTTTTCCAAACACACTTGAGACGCCTAGGATCGAGGCAGACAAGTTCCCACGTCCAACGCAAACACAGGCACAGAGATACAAAAGTGCACGTGATCATTCTGTAACCCAACATGACAGTCGAGCACTTTCCACCTTGCAATTGTGCTTGCGTTTGAGTCGTCCCCGTTCAAACACGTAAAAAGCGAACGTAGGACAAACGTAAGCGTTGAACTCTTGAAGGTTAAGTTGTCCTTCTACCTGCCCAAAGCAAGAACAAACTATTTTAAGAATAGTTTTGCTTTTGCGGCTGTTGAGCTTTGGGGTTCCCTCCCTTCTTGTTCAAAGAAAGAGACTTTTCTGCAAAATTCAAGGCGAAGATCAAGTCGTACATACTATCTCAGTCAACCATTATAAATTCTCTCCTTTCTTAGTTTATATAGTGTGCGATCTCTTCTTATCCGCTTTAGTTTTAGATATTAACATATTTTTATGTAATATGATTTCTTAAGCACGGCTTTTGAGAAGAACAGATACTTTATCGTAAAGTTTTTTGATGAAACTACCGTGGGTAAATAACGTTTTTACTCACACTCGGCACTTACTCAAAATACTGACCTGTTTTTGCATTTTTCACGGCGTGATCGAAGTCAAACAAGCGGGAGAAATACAATAGCTGAGTGTACAGCGCTGTGTCGGAGTACTGAAAACAAAACAAATTGTCAACCACTGAAGGAGCTGGACCACGAAATGTTAAATTGTTGGGGCCACGCACGCGGATTATACATGGTCTTCAAAGTCTTACGGGTTGTATCCTTCCCACGATGCACTGCAGGTCCTAACATTGTTGGGAGTTGTTGCATCCGTGTGCACTCCACTGCCAACACGGAGGTTAAAAACTCCAAACATTGTTGACCTCGTCGGTTTGTACATAGTTTTAGCTGATAATACCGACAGAGTCAAAGAAAAATTTTGCACGGTCATAGTTGTCTTTGTTTTAGTTTTATACTCACCATTGCATGCAAATGGGCCCTGAAGCATTGTGGGCACAGAGGGGCGCCTCGTTGACGTGTCAGGGGTACCTGACGTGTGCTGTAACCACAGGACGGGTCCTCGCATTTCTGCCAACCCTGTGCGATTAGTTATAATGTGGGTTAGTTTTGATTCCTATGTCTTCAAAGCCGGATAAAAATCAACAACATAATAACAAAGGAATTTTTAAACAAAGAGACTGTTCACAGCCATCTTAGTATTGTTACTTAAGAGAACGCACAAACTTGTTTAGGCAAGGTTAAGAAACAATTCTTGTACAATTTAAGGTCAAGGGTCTAAATTGGGAAAACAAAACATACAGCTAAAAACGACTTTTACTAACTGATGGAAATATCCTTAAGATTAGCATCATTATCTAACCCCTCTCGGGTACGACACTTGCTGATGGTCGCATTCTTGCTACTCGAACAAAGGTCGCATTTGAAGATCTATTACCCATTTAAGCAAGAAGTGCATATAAATAGGTAAAGGTATAAAAATCCTCCGTAGCTTACGTCGTTAGCTCACTTTTACTTCCTGGGCCGGGTTGTTCAAAGCAGGGTTAAGTTAACCCAGGGTTAGTGCGAAATTTGATTTCATATATGAAAGCTTGAGAAGCAAATTCAGTTGTATTCTTTTTGCCTACAATTGATGATTGGATGCTCTAAAAAAGAGAGAGAAAATTCCCCGGGAAAATGCTTTTGAACAAAAGAAAAAGAAACCCAGGTTAAAATTTAACCCTGGGTTAGCGCTAATCGGCCTTCGAACAACAGTGCTCCGTTTTAAGGGTTTTTAAAGCTACTTAAAGCTACAAGGAAAGGAAAGAAGTTAAAAGAAGGATTTGGGGTCACATTTGGGAATCGAACTCGGACCCTCCTGCACAGAAGGCCGTGAAATAACCGATTAAGTACTAATCCTTGCTCCATGCTGTATAGCCTACCAAAAAGCCGTACGAGTTGCTTTGTTATTTTTATTACAGTGCAACTTCGATTTAACGAACCTTTATATAACGAAGTCCTCGGTATAAAGAACGATTTTCATCAGCCTGGCCAAAATTACAGTAAAATGTATGGAACAGAAACTCGATTTAACGAAATCATCGTTATAACGAACACAATCCAGAAACGCAAACGTAAAATATACCTCGATATAACGAATAAATGTCAGCATGTGACCGGAAGATAACTAAAGATGAATGCGAAAGGATAAAACTTGTGTCGAGGTGATATCGAGGTTTTCGATATAACGAACAACTTTCCCCAGTCCCTTGGCACTTATTTAAATCGAGGTTCCGCTGTATACAACTGCAGTTGCAAAAAGTGAGCACTTCACAAAATTGCTTCAGTTACCATGTAGTATTCCTTGATGTGTCTGCGCATGGCAATGTTCAACTGGTTGGAAACTGCGCCCGCGCTGTACTGATTGTTACATCCGGGACATGTATCGTTGACTGCCAATGCGTTCGACTACAAAAAAATTGGTGCGAAGTATTAATTTGTATAGGTAATAGCATGATTTGTAGCGATATTTGGACCTAAAACTTTATACGTAATTTCAAGCCGTTTTTTGGACAATTTTGAAATATCACGAGTGGTATTTATGCCAAATATCACGTATAAATCGTGCAATTATTTGTTTATACTACTACCCGCAAACGGTTTGTAATTTTCACATGCAGGTATTTCAAATTAAGCTGAAATACCACTGCTCTAAGCCAATCAAATTGCAGAAATTTCTCATGTAGTAGTATAAAAGACCTAAAACTTTACGTTCAATTTTAGGTCCTTATCTTACTAAACGAATTTTAAAAAGTTTAAACTTTCTGTAACCACGAGCGTATCTCCACAAATGTTGTGCACTTGTGGTTTTTCAACTATACAACCTTGTAATGTGCTTCGTTTGGTTGCTTCAATAAAAACAACAATTATAAATGTTTTAAAAGCTTGTTAAATCTGTTTTTGAACGGTTATGTACCTTTTCCCTGTTGGTAATCCTTAATCCAGAGCATAAACTACATCTACCTCTGCTAAAGGCTTGGGATCGACATTGCTGGTTTTCGAATATGGAAAATTGCGGATTTGACTTTAATTTACAGATCTCTGTTCAGCAGAACTCATGCATTGAATGTGCTTAACTTTATACCCCTGAATAGTATAAATTATAAGCTCTATGACTGAAGGAAATAATATCATTTGATGTTAAACTGTAAATGAACATTAACTGTTAAAAGTGTACTTACGGCGCCTTTAAAGAGGAGTTCGAGGGTCGTTTCTTGACCACAGCTGGAGCGTTTACACTTGACTATAAATCGCTCACAATCCTTGAGAAACAAGTAAGGTACAGATTAGGGTTAGGGTTTCTATTTGTGTTTTTACCTATTCACCATTTTCACAAAGACCATGATGCCCCTTGTTTATCCCCGCCCTCAAATTTTGTGTTCCGGTCTTGTGGATTTTAGAACATGCCGATTTCAGACACAATCCACTTTACGTTAAAACGAAACGTCTCAGTCCAGAACATTTCTTTCACCTTAATTCCCAGATTGAGTGATCGAGACGGAGCCGGTTCTAACTTTTGAGTCTGTGGATAAAATCCTATGGTGTTACCATTCACATGAAATCTCTTCAGCAGTACTTTCACATGGTACTATATACTGATTAAGTATGTAGTTCTAACTTTTGAGTCTGTGGATGAAATCCCATGGTGTTACCATTCAAATGAAACCTCTTCAGCAGTACTTTCACATGGTACTATTTATTTAGTATGTAGTTCCAACTTCTAACTTCCTTTCATTTATTTTATTTTATTTCATTATTTATTTTAGGCTAATGATTTATTTTCTTCTATTTCGGAGATATTAGCTTAAAGAGCTACACTGTAAATCTGAGGATAAATAAAGGTGATGATGTATGATGCTGCTGATGATTTGAATCCGTCGACAAAATCCTATGGTGTTACTATTCAAATGAAACCTCTTCAGTATTCTCATATGCTGTTATCTGGTTTTCATCATTAAACAAAATTAAATTGGGAAATTTTGTAAAATTTTGACTTTGATCATTTCTGGGGAGGCGGGGGGAGTGTTTATAGTTAAACCGACCTTAAACCTTTCCTCGTCTGTCATCTGAGCCTGGCCACCAAGCAACGCGTCATTTTCATCATCATGAAGGGCAGAGCTGCCACGATAACCAGAAGGATCCAGGCCTGCGCAGCAAAGAAAAAAAAAATGGTGATAAACTTTTTAACCATTCAGTTTCACGGGAATCTCAATGTACAGTAAAAACCCGTTAATTCTACGGTCACGGAAATCTCGTCGTCTTTACAGGGTTGTCGTTTAACGATGCTGATCGTTGAAAAGAAAAACCAACAATAACAAAATTCAGTGCAGCGGTTTGAATGGTAAGAAATAAAGAAAATGACGACAAACGAACCGTCGCGCAAAACACAAATTGACATTTCTCTTGGAAATCACGCATTGAGCTCGCAACCAACAGATTTGAAGGTTGCGCTGACTTCCAAAATTGACTGTAGGCTCTGAACCAATGAGACGAGAGATAGCAAGTAGAGAACTTAAGAAAAACTGCTTCCGGTGTAGGAGTAGAGGCAAAGTTGTCCGTGCCAGAAGCCACAAATACGGATAGACCGCCTTTGAGTTTTTACCCTAAAGAAAGAGCTAGCCGAGGCTTCTAGGGAGAATAAAACTGTGATATCAGGTCATTCCGTTGTTGCAATATACAAGAAAACACTAAAGAAGTTAATACTTTAAACAGACTTAATCAGTGGACACATTTTGTTTAGATGCATTGCAAGGCGTTTTCTAGGCGCGGAGTTAAATCGGTAATTTACTTACCTAAACACTGGGCAATATGAGCTGCATCGGTGCCGTCGATGGGATCGCACAAACGAGCTACGACTGGGTGAACCTGATTAGCGAGATAGTATTTCACATCTAGGATATAAATACGTCAAGGAGTGAAAAACAACCGACTTGCATTGGTAATTAATACCCTGGGAATTATGCATATAAGACTTAAAAAAAGAAGCTACCACTGTTTTAATCCACCACTCTTCTCGAGGTCGCGGAAGGTAAGAGACTGTTCGTCCACCCTCCCACCCAACGAATAAGTCGGAGTTGATCCTGCCCGAGTTTGCTTTCGCCCAGTTTTAGGCTTATTCGCACACTTTGTTATCATGTCATAAATAACAATAGAATATCCAGGGTAGAACCGACCCTCGTCTTTAAGCACCCATCGTAGCCTGAGAAAACAGCAGACATTTCGTGATGCCACCAACGACGTCTGAGGGACGAGCGCAGAGATTTCATGCTAAGGACGCGTTGCTAACCAGATCTGGGTACTGCTTCTGATTGGTTGGAAATTTACTTCATACAGTCAGAAGCTAGATCCGGGTAGTGACACGTCATTAGTATGGAATTTCTGCGCTCGTTTCTTCTGACGTCATTTCGCGCGAAAAACAGTGATGTCGTCGCGAAAAGTGTCTTTTTGGTTTTGTTCTTAATAACGGGAATATATTTAAAGGATACCGATCTTGAGTGTTTCAGATTTGCAGAACTCGTCCGGATGATAAGCTCGCTGACTTGCAGCTAAGGTGGAACCATCCTAAAGGAAACAGTTTGGAAAAAAGACTTACTAACTAAGCGATTGGTAAAATTCCAAGGTTTCCTTCTTTGTTTAATGTTGAGCGATATCCTATGGGACTTTTGGAGCTAGCCATTCACGTGGTACGAAACCGCCATGCTGGAGAGCAAAGGTCGCATTGAGACCAGACAAACAATCTTGTCCCAATGAGTGTCTTGCTATCCCGCGAGGCGGATTTCTACCACGTGAATGAAGAGCCTATTCACCATTTGCACATCTTGTTTGCCCCTCCACCCCAACAATTTGCATAACGTTTGTTTTCAATTTCTCCTGGGTATTACAGTCGTCCAAAGAGAATTGAAGACAATGCTTATGCAAATTTTTTTTTTTTTTGGGGGGGGGGGGGGTAAACAAGGTGTATTATGGGAGATGTAAAAATGGAACGCAGAGATCCCTGCGAGTGCGTTAATTAAGGGAGCTGGGGTGGAGAACTTGTCTGTGACGTCATCTCAGGAGAATTCATTTTCGTTAGTGTGATTTTGGAGCTTCTCGGGCCCAAGGAATCTGTCTTTTGACGCCTTTTCGCTCCAATGAAGGCACATTTCGTTAGTTTGGTTTTCAAAAATTCGGCTAGATATCCTAAAGAGTTTTTACTTTCTTTTGTTATGTTGTAGGTCATTTCCGCCTCTCCCTTTTAGACAATTTTCATTGCGACATTCTCCATCTATCATAATTCAGTAACATCTGTAAACTTCAAGAAGGCTGGTATGGCCAGCGGAAATATTGTTATAAAAAGGCAATACACGTTGTTATGATCAGCTTTGCAGTAGGATTTGGACTTCTCGTTTTTTTGTTCGAATTCCCGAAAGCCGGCAAAATGAGCACAGACTTAGTACTTACGTCACAAATGACGTATGGGATAGTGTCACCAGGGTTCACTTTCCTTCCCTTGCTGAGCATGCGCAAAGCAACGTTAACATGAGCCAGTGATTTCTTGTCCGGGTAGTCATGGGGAGATTTGGTTAGTTGCTGCAATTAAATGATCACCATGTGTCAAAACGGCACACAGTTTGTTCAGGAAACAAGCCCTTCTAAGAAAATTAAAGCGTTAAATCTGGAAAAAGTACTCTACAAAATACCGACCTTTGGGCTAAAACTGCATTTTTTCTCATTTTCTCGGTTATTGGTCTAGGGTGGGGTGGGAGAGGGGTGGGTGAATGACGTGATATACATCCAGCGCTACCGCTCTACACTATACCATGACAGTCACGTGTTGTAGGGCCCAGGTCTGGCACCTCGATCTAGGCAACTTTCGCTTTCGTTGTAGGCGGCGTTACCTAGTAAAGAGAGCTGTAGTCGTAGATTTTTAGTTATCATTTCCAAAACCGTAAAATATACAAAAAGGTTATCAGTCAGAGTCAACGGTTTTTTGTTTATCTTTCAAGTTTATGACTTAGTCAAAGGATATCAAACCTTATTAATGACGAACTTCTGAATGTCGACCTTTCCCTCCGCAACGTTTTCTCCGACTGACGAATAAGAAAAAAATTCAAAACCATAAAACACACGAAAAATCACAGGAAAGAAAGTCAGAAAAAAGAAGGAAAACAGATTTTAAGCTTAATAAAGACAGGGACATCTATTTGATAATATTTTCTCTTCCCCCGCCTGGGAAACATCAAACTTATAAAACAGAACAGCGTAGTTATTACACTCATAACAGCTGGAACGTAACGACCCGGAACATATTTTTCCACATTTTGTACATGAGGCCGTTACCTGGCGCAAACTTTCCCGCGCTTGGCAACGGATGCAGGTTTTTCGCGCCTTTTCTAGCCTGCGTGGCAGGCGTTAATTGGGGAAGGGGAAGAGGGAACTCGGGCGCGCGAGGAGGGGGAAATAGTGAGCGCCTGCAATGACGCTTTAAGCTCATGTTCCCTACTTACCCTCCTCGCGCGCCCGAATTCACGTCTTCCCTTCCCCTATAAACGCCTGCCACGCAGGAGCGTACCTTTTCCGGCGAGGTGAGCCAAACGTGATGGTCTACGAGAGGTCTATTCGAAGAGGACAGACGGCAAATTGTTGTTGCTGGTAAGGTGTATAAGTCGTAACTGTTTATCAGTACGATGCACAAAATGTTATAGGGTTAAGTGTCGAACATTAAAAAGATTCCACCAAGTCATTGTTCAAACAGTAATAAACGTTAACACGGATGGTAGCCACAAGGCAGCCGCCATACCTGACATTAGGTAGTCATGAATGTTTTCCACAATAGTCTCACGGGCTTGTGAAGAAAGGATTTGAGCCAGAACATAGCTACAATAGAGTGTTGCAACATATTTAGTAACAAATTATATGGCTTTCAGAGTAAAAATTCAATTTTGTCCCTTGCTTATTTGCATGACGCTTTCCACAAAGGAATTCAAATTGTTATCTTTCGTTTCGGTTCTTTTTTAAAACCTTGTTTGGCTCCTTCTTTCATTGATTTTTTTTAGCCCACGGCACCGTTCTCTTTTCAAGTTGGTCTCGTTGAACAATCGATAATATATTGAAGATCTTTTTCAGACTGCTATACCTTACGTAAATAATAAGAGGCTATTTTTGAGTTACCTCAAGCCTCTGTTTCGAGGCGAGGCTAAGTGCAAAACCATTACCATGAACATGATTTTTAATTCTCATGTAAATTTAACTCATTTTCACACCAAAGGTTTTACAGTGAGCCTCACTTCGAAATACAGAGTTTTTGGAACTGGAAACAGCCTATTTAATTGATGGAATAAGAGCTTACTTCCCAGCATCCTTTGCGAGGTCGCACCAGTCCCTTCTCACAATATCCAGACCCTTCATTTCTTTCACTTCATTAAGGAGGCCTGAAAAGATGAAATATATTCGTATCGATGAGAGTGAAAAAAAAAGCTTACAAAAACACTTGATTATTAACTTACCATCCTCATTTTCAGAAATACTGATGGCAGCATACCTTAAAAAAGAGCATATAAAGATGAGTGCTAGAAGCACATGCAAAAAAGATCAAAAAACGAAGAGAAACGTGATCAATTTATGATGCTGTCTTCTCCGTCGTATAGTACTTACTTCTTCTTTTTTAGTAGAAGCATGGACTTGAAAATGCCATCAATGTCTATCTCAAGTAATCTGTAAAGCTTGTTCACCTCATTTTTCACCTAAAATACAAAAAACAAGGCCACTATTACATTACGGTTTTATAAATAAATAATGCTTTAAAGGTAGCACATCCACTTAGTAGTTCACTTCTTCGTCTACCTGATTTTTCGTCGAATTGGAATTTGGAAATGTTGGTTGTTGACGAGAGGGGAAAACAGAAGCACCCGGAGAAAAACCTCGACGTCGGGATTTGAACCCGGGCTACACTGGTGGGAGGCCCATTGGTGCTTCTTCCTTGCTCCCGAAAAAGATAACTGTAAATTGCAAGCTTGATCAATTAAGTGTTCCTTTTTCCTTCTACTGCAGACATAAACGTAGATCATTTGATACGCTAATTCGAGGCTGGGCGCTTATTTGAGGTGGGCGCTAATTCAAGGTTGGGCGCTTATTCGAATAAAAAGGTAATTTTTTTATTAATTTTCAAGTTAGCACCATTTTTATAAGAACCTTCTTGGCCTCGAAAAACGTAGGTTCTTATACGCGGGTTTTTACCGTATCGCTCCTATGATTTAACCCCTTCGAAGACCTGAAAGTACACGCACCTTGTTGCCTATCTTGCGGACTTCACCGAGATCATTAGAATTCGTGTTGATCATGATGGAGTCTGTGTCACCGTAAATCACATCAAGACCCATCTAAAAACAATATAAACAATCAGTTAATAACATGAGAACAGTTTGGAAACTGCCTACCTACCCCTCCCCTAAGCCAGCATTTTGCCCTTAATGAGAAGTAAGTGTTAATGTTGGCTTAGGGGAGGGGTAGGTGGGCAGATCCCAGAAACGTATGATGATCCCAAATGTTAACTGATCAAAAGTCCAGACACCATGGAAGAACTAGTTATAGGCATTACAGAAGAACTTTAACTCTTCAGTGCTCTAATAAAGCTGAACTAATTTTTCTTTCTAAAAATACATATGTTTGGCTAAGTCACCAATATTGTGGTCAGACTCGGTCAAGAACGCACTGCGCATCTTTACAGAAAATTGTCCATGGTAGGCGCATGATTGGAAGGTAGACTGTTTACTGCCGTTCACTGCAATAATAGGGAGTTTTAGCAACCACGACGGCGGTGGCAACGAGAACGTCTGACGTTCTCGTTGACATCGCCGTCGTCGTCGCTTAATAAGCTCCCTAGAGACCTTAAGCAACGACGAGGACCACATCAACGAGAAGGGCATAAAAGCAATAGCTCTAGGGCCTGTTTACAGGGGGGTGGGAGACCCCAGGGAGGTGAGGTTACCCGCCTGTCCATATAATCTCTCATTTTAATTTGATCACGTTTAAATGATAGATGGGGTAACCCGCCGCATGTTACCTCACCTACCTGGGTTCCCCACCTCCATGTAAATAGGCTCTTAGATTGGCAAAATAACAACTCTGCGCGTGATCAAGCTTTTTTGTACATTTTTTGCCGTCGCTGCACGACTACAAAGTGAAAGTGCATGATTTCACGTTTTGTCGAGGACGGGAACACAAGACAACAACTTTCTTTTTCTTTTCCTGAACTTTGGTACAGTTCTTTGGAATTCAACTCCGAAAAAAATCGCCAAAATTTTAAAAAAATTAAGAGTTGGAATAAGAGCGATGAAGTTTGAAGCAGCGCGGATTCACTTTTCGGGTGAAATTTTCGCTGCCGTTACGGTCTTTGTTGCTTAAACTCCCTAATGATATTCTGTTGGTGCGGCAATTTACTTCCGCCCAAAATAGATAAACATTTTATTCATCAGCATGAAAGTGTAGGGCCAGTTATTTAAACGAAAATTAGCCAGTGTTTAACAAAACCGCGTTCTAAGCCATTTTCAGTTTGCCGAACGCTTTAATCTACGCATCATCTATCGTGAACAATTTCATGAAAGCTTATATATATGGCTTAAACTAGAAAAGCATTTTTCTTCTTAAAATAATCCACTAAGGAAGGGATCTGGAGGTGCAAAGATCTCCTAAACCGCGGTCTAAGTTAGACTTCGTTTAAATAACCGACCAGTAGTCTTTGGCATCAACTTCGTCCGGACATAATTTCAGCCAACAAATAAGGTTGTCTGATGATGGACTGCTATTTGAGAAAGTCTCTTACGTTTTGAACAAGTTCCTTGGTTTTCATCAAAATCTATGATGATAAAGAAATGTGTAAAATAAAATAAATTAGTAACATTAGTTTGTAAACGACAGTCTTCACTATCGATGGAACCCTGTAACTGACAGGGTCCCATCGACAGGACCAAAGACAGTGCCCGTATAGAGAGGAGAAGTGTGACGTCACGTTACCATGGTAGCACTATTTCTGGTTGACAACAAAACCAACGACGACGGTGACGGCAAGAAGAACGGCAAAAAAATAAAATGTTTATATGAACAAACAACAACTTTGCACGTGAACCACGCTATTTTGTACATTTCCTTGCCATGGTTACACCACTACGACATGAAACTTCCTAATTTCACGAGCCCGCTTCATGGAGTAATATACGTGAACACAACACAAAAATTGTCGCTTCCTTTTTCTAAACTTAGATAATGATAGATACGGCCCAAACAAAATTTCGCCAGGATTTGCCAAATTAAATGAAACTGAATAAGATCGGTGAAGTTTGAAATAGTGCGAATAGATTTTTAAGTGACTTTACCGGTTTGTTGTCATCCAAAAATTTTGCTACCATGACAACGTGACTTAAATCCCTACGCTTTACAGACGCCCGATTAATACGGACACCTCGTTATTACGGACAGTTTTCCTTGTCCCAGGGGAACGAAAGCCCTTACATTTTCTCAAAATTCAACCCGGTTAATACGTCTAATACGGACAGCCCTTTAAGTGCCCATATTTGCAGGGTTTGACCGTACTTTAAGCGTGAAAGAGGTATCCCTTTCTGAAGGAGCCTTCCCGTATAGGCCATTATAGGGAGGGCCCCTCCCCCGGGGGGCAAACCTACCAAATGTATCAAAAACTATAGATAAGATAAAACGGGCCACATGACCTCCTCTGGCAATAAAAAGATCACTAACGCCTTCGATTTTGAAAGAAAATGCCATGGCAAAACAAAAGGTCTTTGATATTGTTTACTTTCCGGAAGATTTCAACTTCTAAATTTGCATTTAATAAGTCAGGTAAAGAGACACAAGGTATAATAAATGAATTTAAAATAGTTACCCATCACGGAGCATGAAGAATCGTTTACTGATATTTTATCGATTTGCTGTAAAATCTTTGCTCAAGAAAGCTGGAGATGAAGGCAATTTTAAAGGTTTTTGAAAACTGAAACAAAGCACAATGGTATAACTCATACGAGCACTCTGAACTTTTCTCGTGACAATAATGGAATTTGGTCGAGTTCTTTTGAAAGGCAATTAAACTTTAATTGCGAAATGTCCAATTGGTCGAGTCGTGCAAATAAATAACAAGGGGATTAAATATTTCATTGACACTGGTGCAATGATTAACTGCTACAACGCGTACAGTTGACAAAAAATATCGGGTATGCAACAAAAGCGAGGAGCTGAGAAGCTATCCGTTTAATCAACAAACAAAAAAAGCTGCAGAAGGCACGAAGTCTTTAAGTGACACTTGAAGAAGCAGATGGTTTGAAAGTATCTAAAAATATTTTATCAATACCATGTTGCATCGCCGTTATACGTCCATAGCGGAAGAACCCGAAAGTGGAGAAACCAGCTTACCAGAAGGTAAGAGAAGTGGTAGGCTCATTTCTGTCGCTACGGTAGGGCTTAGTTTACGAAAGCCTTCTGTATTTTAGGGCAATACCTAGAAAAAGTCATCGACTGACTAACAACGTTGTGGTCGACGGTACGCTCAATTAACCCGTGCTTCGTTTTACGGTATTTTCAAGCTACACAAGAACGAAAGACGTCGAGAAAAGGTTTTGAGGTCAAACCAGAGAAAAGAATTCGGTCTCGTACAGAGGGCCGCGCTCTAACCAACTGTGCTAGTCCTACTCCGATAAACAAACAGTATTCATATCTCGGTTAAGATACAGCTCATGACTGTATAGCGATGAATTTCTAGGAAGTGTAGGTTTATACTCTCGAAAGACAGGTTTCCAGGCCAAGCAGTCGGTGCTTCCCTGTGGCGCTGTGCCACTCGGGTTTCCAAAACAGTTTTAAGACTTCATAATTGAGGGAGTTCTTCGATGTTTGAACCTGAACAAGAAAAAAGGCGTGAAAACATAAAACCCTTGATAACCCTTAAAGGGCTCTACTGAGATCAGCATGCAATTCTCCACACTCTGTTTCGTACATTTCCTATGTTATTAATGTAGAGAATTTGTTTTAATATCAAGACTTTTTTCAGTTGTTGCTTATTTCTGTTTTCTCATGATCTTTAAGTTTGAGAAGTAGTGCTAATTCATGAAACTATATTCCTTACAGTAGATAATAAGCAAATAACGTTTTTGGAAAAGCTGGAGAAACGAAGGTTTCTTGTAAGCGGGTTTTACTGTACTGTGACACTGCATACCAATGTTTGCAAAGTGTAAATGTTGTTATCTAAGTGAAAAATTGGTTTACATTTCAAGGTATGACAAACGCCGGTAAATAAACTTACTTTAATTTTTATTTTAGTGTTTGCTTATTATTTTATATTTCAGAGAGAAATCTCAAAGAAACAACAGACGACAAAAATCTCAGTTTTACGAAAACGCGAAACAGCGAGTCCTCCAGCCGACAATCAGCGACAAGTGCCCGATTGTCGACCTCGGAACTCACCGAAAACACACTGGACGAATCGGAAAGCGATCGGCTTTCGTTGTCAGAGGACGAAGATTTATTCGCCGAAGAAGCCGAAAACAAGTCCCAAAGAAAAGACAAGCGGGTGTCAAGTAAACAAAGCAACAGTTACCTACACCGAGCGTCGAAATACGAAGAAGAGATCTTGAAGTCAGTGAAATTAACTCCTGATCAAATTCGTGAGATAAAGGAAGCCTTCCATGTTTTTGATAACAATGGCGACGGATGTATTACCGCCACAGAACTGAAAAAACTGGTCACCTCGCTTGGTTATAATATAACAGAAGCAGAACTTATGGACATGATGAACCAAATAGGTAAACTGAAGTATGAAGGTTGCGCCAGCTCTCTGTCGTTATCTTCATAAAACGTTTTGAGTAACCTCGTTCATATTTTGGGGAAAAAAAAGTACATAACATACTGAAATAGGAAAACTTAGGTAATGTTTACAATAAAACGGGAAGCTTTTCCGCCGCCACAAAAACCATACTGGACAGGGATTCTGTTCACACATGAGAACGGTGATTTCTACGCGATTTCTCTGACTGAGCGAATCTGCGCCGCGCGGATCTCTAAACTGGAGAGTCACATATCGGATAGTGTTCACAGAATACCGGACAGCCTTTTGTGTCGACACAAAAAGCTCTTCGGTATAGTGTAAACATTGCCTTACAAGAAAAAAACCGCGCGAACATGAATGCTAACCAACACTGAACGACCAAAATGTCCAACCATCGGGGTCGGGGGTGGGGGAGGGAAAAGACCCCCCTCTCTGCTTACCACGAGAGTTTGTTCGCAGGCGTAATTTTCATCCCTTTACGAGCCACGGCGTGTCTCTGTCGTTTCGTCAGAAAGTTTACCTCGGACTAATTCGCCACCAATTACATTTTCCGTGTCTCTCGATGAGATCTGGGGACTCTTAAGTTCTGATTTTACGTTTAAAATATGTTCTTGATGTTTCGTTTTTAGATGCAGACGGTAACGGCGCCATTGACTTCCCAGAATTCCTCGCACTGATGACGAAAAATCTAGAAGACTGTGATCCGGAAGATATTTTACTGGAATCTTTCAAGGTGTTCGACAGGGACGGCAGTGGTTTCATAGGCGTTACTGAACTCGACCGAGTCTTCAAGCTGCTCGGTCAAGACTTCAAAGATTACGAGATCGAGGCCATGATAAAGGCCGCTGACGCCGATGGCGACGGGCTCGTAGGTTGGGAAGACTTCACAAAAATGATGAACGTTTAAATGGATTGGACATAGGGGGAGTCTCGAGAAGTCACGCGAGAGCCGCACGCGAAAGGAAACTCGGGTGCGAGGGCGCGTTGTTTCGCGTTTCGCTTCGCTCGCCATAACGGGAGAGCTTGCTGGGAGGCAAGGACATTACAACGAAAAAACGACGTGACCTTGAAGCTTAAGTTATTACATACTACTGAAGTATTGTGGAAAAAAGTATAAGATACTAAACAAAATTAAAATATGTCGAATATGTAGAACTCTGTGTACTTTCTAGCCAGCAAACTAGCCTGAAATATTTCGTCAGCTTGGAGGTTTAATTTTCAAAGTTATCAAAACCAATTTTTTTTGAGATTTCAATGCAAACGAAACAAATAAAATTTCTCTCTGCCAGGAAAACGTTCATTGGGATTTCCTTAAAAAATCATTCCACTACTCCTTTATTGGCGAAGGGCGGGGGGCTGGGCGTTGCGTTTCGTGAGGAGACAAAAAGGGTTGCGCGGGAGACTAGGGTAAACGTCATTTAAAGAATTTTTCACAACTGACGATTTGACTTACGTTAAGAATAATTCCGAGCAACTTTTTGTTGAAAAATGGCGAAGACAAGTTTTGAACGCTTAAAACTTTTTTTTTACTAAGAAGTCCCAAAACAATGAATCTAAATCTAAAGCATATCTAGTAAGCATCAAATTTTAAACGCTGAAAACAACCCTTTTCTTTCGTTTTACAGCTGTGTACTATTCTAAAAAAATTCCAACGATATTGGCTACATGACCAATTTTCATTTAATTATCTTTTATTTTGCCACCAGCTTTAACTCTTAAAAGAAACGATTCAATTTTCATAAGCTTGAAAACAAAAGCGAAGTAATGATGAAAGGCCAAAATCAGTACTTAGCCCACCTTCGGATCCAAGTAATTAACCTTCTTTTAAAAACCTGCATGTAAATCAGACGAACTAGGTTATCTTTTGTTGGCTTGACAATAGAATACGATGTTAACAATGTGCATCTCGTTAAATGCGAAACTCGTTTTGCGAATAACACCAGCCGCCTTCTACACGAATAAAAAGAAATTCAGATAAAGCAGAGCTTGTACTGAGGGCGATGTAGCACTCGCAATAGCTGTACGTTTTTGGCGATAGCTTCAAAATGTCAGTATTCAACAACCAACGCCAAGCAAACATAAGAGTGGTTTTTCGCAAATTTGACAAAGATTCCGACGGATTTATAACTGTTAAAGACCTCATTAGCGTTTTCAGGGAACTTGGCGAGGATGTCAGAGAAGATGAACTGAGAGAACACTTTCATAACGCAGGTAGGGGACATGAATGTGAAAAAAGGAATTTCGATAAGTATGATCTTTAGCGCGGTGTAAAAAGGTGCAAGTGAAAGGTGTAAGCGGTAACTGGTTACTTCTCAGCAAACCACATTATCGGAATCTTCAACAACGTTCTGATAACCATTAGGTCTATAAAGAAATTTCCCAAGTTTTTGAACTTAGACACTAGTTAAAAGCTCACAGTTTAGCAATTCCACTGACTGGCTAAGATTACTCTTTTGATCCTTACATAGTACACAACCGTGAGAGAGTAATCCAGGACTTAACTATATAGAGACTTCTTCATCGACCTTGGATCATTACTTTTAAATAAATCATTTCGATCTCTGATTAAATCCTCTATCACACCCATTTCTCGTAATTACAAATGTAGGAGGGTCAAATAGGATAAACTACATCTCACCTACCAATATTAGAGCCAATGTTGAAACCTACCCTCCCCAGCTACATAAATTACTGCAATTCTCTCCCCATTCCATCCCTGATATTTTATGCCCCCCCTCCCCCCCGCTCGAGGTTCACGTATTTCTAGTTATTTTTAAATAAATCATTTCGATACTTAGCATTAAACTGTAATGGTTCACAGTGATATGCCATCGAGTCAACTCGTCGCTTGAACAAGCTTACTTTTTCTCGTTTATTTTCAGGCCTGGGACACCGACCAAACACGCTTATATCTTATGACATTTTTCAGCAGATATCCAAAAAAATCCTGCGTGAATCGAGAAAGGAACGACGTCTTAAAAGGGTGTTTCAAGAGTTCGACGCGGAAAAGAAAGGCTACATCGAAGGGCATGGGATACGGCGGGTTCTTCGAAGACTTCACATTGATCATACAGAGTCAGATATAGACTTAATGATGAAAATGGCAGATACAAAGGGGGACGGAAGGGTAGATTTTGAAGAATTTCTCCAGATTTTCAACGACTCAGATGATATTTAAGAATTTCGCCATACTATTGCTGCGGCTAGTGCAGAAAAAAACAAATATGTTTATTTTTAGTTGTTGATCGAGTTAATCAGATTGTCAAAAGGTGGGCAATTGTTTTCAATTCCAGATCAAGTTGTGTTCATTTTGGGGATTATACATGGGAAATTTGATTTCTCTAACGTTCAAAATTCTTTAATAGTTTGACTTGTCGTAAGATCTCTTAAGCTGTGAATGTTCAGGTAATCCGACTAAAATAAAACAGTTTAAACAAAGTTGGATAAACAAACCGAGCAAAACTTTTAAAAGGAGTCAGAATTTTAAGGGAAGTACAATAAAAAAGCTACAGAAATAATGAAAAAAATAATAATATGTAAACGTCTATAGCACTCCGCTCTCATCAATTAATTTTTTATGGCCCTGAAAACAGAAAAATCAAGTGTCCTACGACTTGGGGTCAATCAAAACTTTTATGCTTTCAGATGCGAAGATGTGATGCCGCCTTCGACAACTTGAAATTAGTATAAGGCAGAGTTACGCAGGTGGTTTCCACACAACGAAAAACTATTTTTTTCTAATTTTTTTTAAAAATAATTTTGCAAAAAAGTCATCGCACTCAATTCATAAATAATGATAGACAGCTGGCATACTTTCTTCTCAAATGAAAAAAGTAAATTTGAAACAACGTTTGATAGAAAAACAAAATAGAGAAGGAAATAACTCAGCAGGCATTTACAGTCCGTCAGTGGTCACAAGTACTTTTTTATGTCATTTCAAAACAAATGGATGAAAAAAGAAACAAAGCTCTTATAGCAACTACTTGACGTCATTTCAACCGCAATATTTTTCTTCACGTAACATGGCAACTAGCCTCCCACGCAGACGTTTTTAGGGGAGCTCGTATTTCTTCCCTCCCCACACGCCTGCGTGGGAGGCTACATGGCAACAAGAAACAGCATGGCCAGGGGACCGTAGAAGCGAGGTTGTAAGAGAAAGACCAATCAGAACACAAATAAATAAGCAACCCGTGAAAAGCGCGGGAAAATCTATTGGTGAGGGTTTTACCAAAGTCCAAGGCTTTAACAATACTCCCGACATCACTGGCTGTTCAGCTATCTCACCTATCAAATAGAAACTCGAGAAATTCCTCAGCGAAAATTAGCGATTCTCCCTTTTGTCGGGTCTCAGATAGCGGTTATAGTTCTGGCATTCCACGCGCGTTTCGTGGTACGACTTGCGGGCAAGTCTAAAGTTCGCGCAATGTAGAAATTGCTGTGGACACATTACCTACTGTCTCAATAGAGACTTAAAGATACACCGTTACCGTGTACGGCAACGAGTGAATAACCCTTACCCCTAGCCGTAAAGACGGGTTATACTGTCTCATACCCTGAAGGAAACGCCGACTAGGCTTCCGGGTAAAGTTACTGTAATAGACCTCAGATAAGCCGTTTTCGAAGCACTGTAAAGTCGGGCAAATTACCCTTACCCCTACTCCCAGAGGTAAACACAGGTGTAACAACTCTTACCCCAGAGAAACGCCTAACCATCCGGGTTAAGCGTTAGGACCAGTAAACACCGATTATTTAGATCATAGTCCCCTTTTCTAGTATAAACAGACGATAAAAACGACGGTGCATCTTACAGTTCCTTGTCATGTTTTCTAGCGAGGGAACGTACGTCTACCTAAGACTCGTGCACTGTCGTTGTCCTTAATTGTCCGCTTTTTTTTTCGCCTCCATTATTTTTCCTTTCGCGATTGCATGTTAATGTAGTGCAGTAGAACCTCGATATAACGAACCCCTATATAACGAAGTCCTTGGTATAACGAACGATTTACTTTACCCCAGTAATAGTAAAATACCGTAAATCCTCTATTAAGCCCCCCCCTCTCAAATAAGCCCCCCCTTTTCAGAGGAGGAAAGTTAATAAGCCCCCCCTCTCTATTAAGCCCCCCCTCCCCCTCCCCCAATCCTTATTCTTCACAAAACAATTAACGATTAACGTGGCTGACTGATCAGTTATGGTTTATTCAGGCTGGAAGTTCATATTGTTTTTGGTCTTCGGCCGCATGACCTCCAACTTCATGTCCTTAACTTTCTCAACTTTGCACTCTGGTTCTCTGTGGAGAATTGTCACCATTTTCTTATAGTATTATAGTATCATAAATTTCAAGGCTGTTTATATAAAACATTTAAATGTAAGAGATAAAAAATGTAAATATAAGAGGAGTTTTCCAGCGATTTTCGTTTGTAAGTTGTGTACGACAAATCAGTACAAGTAACCATTCTTATAAAAATTACCGAAGAACATGAGGCCGAAAGCACATTTTTGAAGAATAAGAATTTTGTTTTTGTTACTTTTAGGCTCCCACAAGTGAATTAAATACTTTTGACAGTGACTGTAATTGTACAACGCGTAAGTCTACTCTGTCTCATACCACGGTATTTTTGCTACAGGTGATGCGTTTCGCTAAATTAAAGACGCCCCCCCTCTCTTTTAAGCCCCCCTCTCTATTAAGGCCCCCCTCAAAAGTGCTTGAAAAAAATAAGCCCCTGGGGGGCTTAATAGAGGATTTACGGTATAAGAAAAAGTACCTCGATATAGCGAACAAATTTGCCGGTCCCTTGGCACTTCGTTATATCTAGGTTTCACTGTATCGTTTTATACGGCAAACTTAGTAAATAAACAAATAAACAACAAGTCTAATGGTTGTTAAGATTTGCTTGTCTTACCTCTCGCCCTTTGCTTGTTACGAGAGCGGCCAGAGGTTTGGCGTAGAAACGAGAATGTGAAAATCCTAAGCAACCATACATACTGGAAAAAACGAAGCGGATGAATAAAGGTGATGTTTCAACAGACGATTTGCAACGACGAATTTTAGCACAAGACAGCGTTGCAACATTGTTTTGAATGCCTGCAACATTGTTCCAACATCGCAACGCTGTGTTGCACTAAAAATCGTCGTTGCGAATCGTCCCGTGTAACTTTCAGGAACATTTAATTGTCAGGCTATTTGCTATCTTTAGATGTTTACTTTACCTCATATTAAGTACATTTAGTCTGTACACCAGACTAACGTGAAAAAAACGTTGAATAAAAAGGCCCCAAAAAAGATACTTTTTGACAAAAAATAGTTGAAAAGTACACTGACTTGCATTATGTTTTAATTTATAGACGAATGACACCTTTCCATTATGTCTACATCTCATTTACCTGTTGGCAGTTAATTTCAAAGCTTTCTGTCTGATATCGTACTGAAACAAAAACAAAGGTCTTGGTTATAAACAGGTTCTCAGAGAAATCTACTTGCGGGTGAGGGGTGGGGGGGGGTTAACCCTGCGTGCTAGATCTCTAAACCCGTCAAATAAAGGAAGACTACTAAAGCCTATGACTCACTGCTCAACATCGTTTAACAATTAGTTGCTCAACAAATGACGAACGATGTCGCCGCTTGTTGAACGAGTAGAAATAAATTACCCATTCGAAAAAGATTGACTGTCTTGCGCTACAGTTGCTCCGGCATTTTTTTCAGTTTCCATAAGATACATTTCTAGCTGATCTTGGCTAACATCAACTTACTTGAATATGTTGATCTGATTCTCGATTGAGGTTCTTCATCATGCCCTTCACCTGCAAAAAAAAAGGCTTGCGTTGAACAAGAAATATTGTTACATAGCTGGAAATTTCTTCCCAACAGCGTGCGCTCTCATTGGTTACTTCCAATAAAACTGTTTCCCGCCAAAATCTCTAAGCGGGCAACGTTGCAAAATCTATGAAGTCAGAGGGTAACAGTGCACTGTTACCTGAGGATGTTGACCGACGACCGCAGTTACATCCACAGACGGAACTCTTAATCTCGTTTAGTCAGCCTTTCTTACGCTATCACCGTGCGAGCTCACAAGGGAGGCCTTGTTTGTATGTAATTAAAATAAAGTTGTGAAATGAATTAATCAGCATGTCACGATTCAATCACTTTTTCAAGTGATTAAAGAGGGTATTTGAAGCTATTCAGTTTACTTTCCTTTTAAACAGCTAAAACGTACATCAACTGAATTCCAATGGTCCAGTTTTGTTATTTAGGCAACGAAACTGTGTGCTTCCTGTCACCTGTTGCTATTGACGGCAAGAATATACAGTGAAACCCCACTTTACGGTCACTTCGTTATTGCGGACAGTTTTTCTTGTACCTAGCCCTTATATTTCCTCGAAATTCAACTCGCTTAATATGGACACTTTTTATTGCCCCCTCAGAGTCCGTATTAAAGTGGTTTGGCTGTATAAGGATTGAACCTTTTCAAGTTTTAATGCTATGCATGCAAAAACCACCAAAAAATTATGGCAAATGCTGCCTAATGGAATTTTTTTTAATACAGCGATTTTCGTATGTCCTCGAAGTGAAAACGCGCAAACAAAACAAGCACAACAAACGTAAGGAAATAGGGCGATTTGATTGGTTTATCGAACAGATACAAACGCGGGTGGCTTTTGGTTGGATAAGCGAACGCTCGCGTAAAAAAACTTCATGCTCGAGAACTTTCTAGAAATCAATCGATACTTCGCTTTGACGTCATACTGCAACACGATTGGCCAATCGAACAGTGCCTTCTCCATATTAAGGTTTTCTTTGGCGGGAAAACAAAGAGGCCATGTTTTGATCTCTTCATCCATTGGCTGATAAAACAAATAACGAACACTTACCGAAACCATTTTTCAAGGTCATACGAAAATCGCTCTATCTTCTTCATTACACTACAGGAGCATTTTATGTATGGGTTAAGGCACTAAACAATGACTTTATCACATGATTGACCTAAAACACTCGCAATATCCTGGTGACAGAACACCTTAAAGTTAGAAACGCAGATACCAACCTGTCTTCTTCGTTCTACCAGTTTTCTGATCTCCGTTGGAAGGATACCAGGCTCTAAATCTGGATCAGGTAACTCAACAACTTCATTCTCGTCAGCCTGTCGGAATAAAATTAACTACTTTTCAAATTTTCGCCTCTACAGTACAGAAAATCACAAGGCTTTTAGGAAGAATACTCTCCTAAGAGAGCATGTAAGTACTGGTAAAGAATAATAAATCGAGAAACATTGTCCGTGTGATTGTTGAAATGTTGTTTCTAATATTGTCAACAAAACTGACAATAAATGGTGAAAGTGCTTTTCGAACCTATCAAAACAAGGAGGCAGGGCGGTTCGTGTGGTCTTACTTGAAGAGGTCTTACATACTGACTTTTTTACGCAGTTACACACCCCATTACAAGCAAGAAAGTGCTGAAAATTTTCTCGCAATGGTCACACGTACGAATTTCATCTACAAACTCAGTCGTTTCAGCCATCTGGTACGGCATAGTAAGTACAGTCGACTCTCTCTTAACGGACACCTCTCTAAGACGGACACTTAGTGCCGGTCCCAAAGGTGTCCGTCTTAGAGAAAGTTGACTGTACTACCCAGTGGTTTTTAAATTTCAACGGGGACCAGACAAGGATTTCAACCATAGGTTCAAAAGTTATAAACGTCTTGTACAACACAATAAACAAAACCACAGGAAAGTACTACGTTTCATGGGATTTTACTAAAACGGTCACACACTTTTTATAAATTAGCATTTCATCCATACTGCACACTGCTGCTACATCTTCGTGTATTATAAGGTGTAAAAACTCTTGGCTTAAACCTGATAACAGTCTCGAAAGTTTCCAGCTCGTTTTATAAACAGTACTAAAAGAACAGAAACTAATGAAATCAATTAACTCACTCCACTGATAGAGCCAGAGGTTGTTCTACTGATAGTAGTGAAACAAATGTTATATTCCTGAATGATGGACGGGTACAAACTGTTGAAATCCAGCAGCAAAATGTGTTTGTCGTAGAAACCTAGAAAAAGTACATTATATGAGAAACATGATTCACGCGAGTAACATCACGACCTATTTAGAATTTGCTGCACACCTGAATGATGATCGACATCCTGTGAAGTGAGAACTATGATTTTTACAAACGTCCCACGCGATTTGTTACTTAACTATCGTGAAAAAAATAACTCAGTGGTCCACAGGGGAAGCAATGAATTTTAACATACCCATTCCAATAAGAGGGGGTTAAATCATGATTTTCAAAGGCAAATTAAAAATAAGTAAATAAATTCACGATGACAACTTTGTTTCTTGCACCCGGTAGCCTCATTGTAGAGATAAGGCGTCTGTTAGAAAGCCGCACTTTATTCCTCTTCAGTCCATCTGAACCCCCCGCCCCAGACTAATAACGGCACAAGTCAGATAGACCAAAAAACCTACTCTTTTTCAAATCGTGCAATGGTGCTTCTTCTCCTTTTCCCCACTAAGTAACTTGGAATCTGGAACAGACTAAGCTAAATACCTTTCTTGGGATCTAACACAAGACCACCGGCGTAAGCTGGTTTTCTTCTTCCTTTCTTTGCGCTTCGTGTCTGTTCCTCCTCATCGTGCTCTGCCTCAACCTATAAATGAACGGAAAACGTATTATGATTCGAACCCCCAAGAAAACTCTCTTTTTAACAAGATTGTCAAAGCAAGCCGCGAGAGAACGCGCGAGTGAGCGGTATCCGTCTCGCGTGCCACTCGCCCGTGACTTTTCACGAAAGCCGCCAAATGGAGTGCTTGTTCACAGACTAGAGTTCAAGGCGCTTAATAGAAATAAGCCAGAATTTTTCTGGGAAAACGCAGGGTCGCTTCGACAGTTTGTGAAATTAACAGCGGTACTGAATGTTGTCTTAATTCTCACCACTTGTTTTTTGCCGTAACTTTTGTCAGGGCAGATGAAATTCCTGTGGAATAAAATAAAAATATAAATCTGACTTAAAAGTTTTTTATACATCTCACTGATGCTTAATGTAACTATGCAACTGTGTTTTTCATGGCTGCACTAGCTAATCGACTGAAAAAAAAATCATCCCAGTTTCTCAACAGATCATAATAAAACCAACACTGACCGCAACTTATCCGCACAAAATTTCCCCAACCCTCGTTCACAGGGTCTTCTCCTTACTCGTGGGAACGAGGTTGAAGATTTCCCGCGCTTCGCGCCGATCACCCGCATTTGGTTCGAGATTCTTGAAAAATACCAACCTACCCCTCCCCCAACCCAACATTTTGCCCTCGCAAGAAGTATGAGTTACAATTGGATTAGGGGAGGGGTAGGTGGGGTAGTTTCCTAGAATCATATACTGCTCCCAAATTGACATTTGATTGTTTGCCTTTGTGGTGACGGGTTAGCGTGATCACTGTTGTTCTGGGTTTAGGACATTTGAAAAAGAACCTGCTACGAAACTGAGCAGTAAAAAGTCTTACTTTTCGTTGAAGGCATGAAGTAAAAGAAATTCGTTTCTTTCTGATCGACCACCAAGAAGAGTGCGGGCCTGAAAATCAAGCAAGATTATTGGTCATTGATTGTAATTTCAAGTTTCAATATTTTCAAACGGTAATTATATATGGAAATTGAAGAGAATTTAAAGACTCACCATAACATTTCCAGCAATAGTCGTTATCTGTAGAGCCAGTGGTAGAACCTAGAAGTAAAAATGATGCTAAAAAAAAGTTGAAAAGGGGGGAAAGAGGGCGGTGGCGCCCTTCCTCTCCGCAGTTTCCTCAAGTTTTTTTTTTCGTTTTCGCGCCTTTTCAATTTCGCAGACCCGGCTATCACAAAACCAAACCGGAGAAAAAAATATATCCGTGTTCAAACAAACACGGACACGAGTGGACGGGGCTTTTATTTCAATTGGGGGACAAAGCGAAGAATTAAAATGACGGAAGTTCAGTTAGAAAAAATTGATTATGTGACAGGAGGTCTACCGAGAGTGGAAATCACATTTTAAGGGGAAAAAAACCAAGACTTACGTTCAAATCGTACATGATCCTTAGAGACAGCAAAGCGTCCATCTGAAAAAAAAAAACGGGAAATGCATGAGATACACACACACACAATCACACGACCAAATGTGATCAATGACACATATCGATCAGCACTTACCGAAGTCAGTTCAAACATGTGAAGGAGTTCGTGAGAAGAACTGAAGAAAAAATAAAGAAAATTGAAATTAACTAAAAGGACTTCTTAAACAATTACTACCCAAAACGAACCATTTATCCACCAAAAAAAGTGTTGATCTGTTAGACATCAGTCAACATGGGGGAACACTTTCTGACATTCGTGAGCAAAAATGTGACGTACGACGCAAGAACATTTGGCTACGACTAAAGATTTTCCTTGATTACTTACTTAAACTTGTTTGGAATTTCATCTTGGTCAATTTCTTCTCTTCTGGACTGAAGGACGGCCCACGATAGTGCTAGGAAAAAATGGGAAAAAGAGAAGCGTGTATAAAACTCAGTAATTTGGATGTTAAAAAAGGGCGAGTCACGTTAAAACTGAGGGTGCGCTTAGTATTTTACGCGCGCGACAAGGCGTTTTACCCGCGGCTCGGGAAAAGGCAACAAGCTTACCTCGGGGAAAGATAAAAATGATCGTAGTTTACCCGCGTCAAATGTTGTCCTTACGGCGAGTGTTGTCCATCATACGAAAAAATAAACCAAGGAAACTTTAAAAAGTTCAAGAGAAGCAAACCACGATCGCTACCGAGTAGTTTATCTTGGGTTTTTTTTGTTCAACGATAAAATACCCGTCAAAGAGACAATACGAAATTTCCCGCGTAAAAGATGCTTAGTACGCGGCGAGGAAGTACCGCGGGAAACAAACATGAGTGTGCCCGCTTTTACCTCTTTATATATAACAACAAAGTGAGTGTAACCACGACCAATAAAAGCGCTGGTAATAGTAGGCCGATGCTGAGGTTTAACTAAGCCAAATGCGGAAGGCTCACTATTGAAAGCGCTGGTAGATAGAGTAGTGGTGGACTCCTTGTGTGGTTTAACTAAGCTAAATGCAGAAGGCATACCTGTTAAATCATAACTCTTGCATCTGATAAGCTCCTTGGAGGAGATCTTGACATCGCAGACCATACGCCCACTGGTAATGCAGCGATCAAGATTACCACCCTTGCCAAACCCGCCACTCTGGAAAAAGATTGAAAGTATTGAAAAGAACGCGCTGTTGTTCAGGCGTTTAACGGAGTATAGCACGTCTCTTAAAGTTACATTTGGGTTGTGAAAATTGCATCTTTCAGTAAGAAATCTTTCGAGAAACTGAATCGATATTGGAGAGGTTAAGTCTATGTTCAATCACACTAAACCCGAAAGCTTTTGCGCCGGCGCAGAAACCACACCGGATATGGCTTCTGTTTACACATAAGAACGGTGATTTCATCCCGATTTCTGTAACGGAGCGAAGCTGTGCCGAGCCGACGATCTCTAAAGTGGAGAGTCACATATCGGTTAAGTGTTCCGGGTTTACAGTCAACTCTCTCCAAGACGGACACCTCTGGGACAGGCACTAAGTGTCCGTCTTAGAGAGATGTCCGTCTTATAGAGAGTCAAAGGAAGGGAGTAAAGAAAGGCAGGGACCAACTATAAGTGTCCGTTTTACAGAGGTGTCCGTCATATAGAGGTGTCCCTTAAGAGAGAGTCGACTGTATAAGTGTCCGTCTTATAGAGGTGTCCGTTAAGAGAGAGTCGACTGTAGTGTAAACACAGCCTAAACAACAGCGACGGCGACAGCGACGGTGAGGTCAACCAGAACGGCAGTAAAACAGCAACTTTGCACGTGCATCACGTTTATTTGTACATTTGTTTAGCAACAACGACGGCGACGAAAACGTCACTTAAAAAGTGAATTCGCGCTGCCTAAAACTTTATCGCGCTTATTACATCTCGTTTAATTTGTCACATGTGGACAAATTTTTTGGGAGTTGAATTCTGAAGGACTGTATCAAAGTTCAACAACTTTCTTTTTCGGAAAAAGAAAGTTGTTGTCTTGTGTACAGGTCCTCGACAAAACCTGAAATTAGGCACTTTCACGTTGTAGTCGTGCAACGACGGCATAGAAATGTACGAAAAAGCGTGATGCACGTGCAAAGTTGTTGTTTTGCCAATCTAAATCTATTGCTATTTTGACATTCTCATTGTCGTCGCTGTCGTTCTTGCTGGGACGTTTTGGGGGACGAATTGTGACCAAGTTTCCTTGGCAACCTCGTAATAGCCAATGAAAGAAGCGATAGCTTCCCCAAAACAGTCCCATAGTGCAATTCGACACAGCACGGACCCTGTCTCAAACGGAAATCAATATGCCCAATGTCAATGACATCGTCTAAAATCCCTGATGGCGGAAGACAAACAACTAGGCTTTTTCGAAGCTTCTTACCGAGAGTTTTGGCATTATGGTTCTTTTGAGTCGTCCAAGACGAGACCAGTGAGGTATCTATATGAAAAAAGGAAACGCGTTAGCATTGTTTAGCGTCGGAAGGAGCAAAAAAAGGAGATTTGCCATTTAATATATCAGAACTGCTTCAAGAACTCATTATTAAATTCGTTAACAATTAGAATCATTGTACTTACCTTACAAGCATTAATCCTGTGCAACAAAAGATCTAGATCGAATCCATAAATGTCATGACCCTATAATACCATAGAAACGTTTAATTAACAATTATTCCTCGAGCCCAAATGGGCTCTGAGCCAATAGCCCATGAGGCCGAAGGCCGAATGGGCTATTGACTCAAGAGGCCATGAGGGCGAGAGGAATAATTGTTTTAGTAAAATCCAACTAGTTGGTCAAAAATATCGAGAATAAAAAAAATAGCTACAGTCTCAGTCAAAATGGTTGGGACACTTTGGGGTCTCCTTGTCCCCTCAATGTTGGTGTACAAGATTTGGTGACCAAACCGCGATAAACAACTTTGAGAGGTACGAGGGGAGCACGAGAACGGAAAAAACAGCGTTTGGTTAAGGTGTCCCAACTATTTTTGTCTGAGACTGTAGTTAAAGCTAGACTTTAATCCTTTTTTGCCGCCAAAAAGCCCGCGCTTTTCGCTGCTAGTGGGCTATTACATATATATAGAGTCGTGTCGTTTTAAGATGAAATGCGAAGGAGAATAACTGAGAAAATCATCACTGAGGCAAACAAGAACAAGCTGCAAATAGACTTACCACCAGCACGTCAGGGTCAATTTTGTGAATCTTTGCCATAAATAAGCCGAGAAGTGCTCTCTCTGATGCAGTGATCTCCATTTTAATTTGCTACGGAAAAAAAAAAACGAAAAGTGTTAACGCAGACACACACAATTTCGTGAACCGTTGCAAAAGATAATCCGTGGGGTCAAAGTACCCGTGAAAATTAGTAATCTATCCAAAAAGTACCGTATTTATTCGATTAACCGTCCTGGGCGCTTATTAAATTTTTGGACCTTGAGAGTGGGCGCTTATTCGAGGCTGGGCGTTTATTAAATTTTCACCATTTTCAGCAAGTGAAGTATGTTTATTTTGCAACAAAACGCGAAGAAGTAACAAAGCAAGGTTTCTGTAAAATACTCTGAAGAAAACACCGTCCTCGGGGAAGTCTCTTATTAGAATTTATTCACTCAAGTGGGTGGGGTGAGCGCTTATTTGAGTTTGATTGGGAGGAGGAGGGGGTGGGCGCTTATTCGAGGCTGGGCGCTTATTAACTTTTTCTGCCTTTAGGATGGGCGCTTATTCGAGGTGGGCGCTAATTCTAGGTTGGGCGCTTATTCGAATAAATACGGTAGTTATGATCCTACAACTTTTTCTTTCTTTTTTTTTGTTGGCCAAAGGAACTGAAGAAAATGCATCAATGCGTATCACAGCCATGAATGCAACGTTAATGGTTTGCTACAAATAGGGTACATTATTTCGATATTAATCATAACTATAACAAAATTGTCAAATCTGATTGGCTCTCAACTGCCCTGATTCCAGCCTTAATTGGACAGTTTAATAGGACAGTACGCGTCATGCCTAAGTAATTGGACAGTACGCGCCATCACGCGCGCGCTTAAATGGTTTTTTTTTCACTGCTAGCAAAACAAAATGTCGAATTTCGTGTGTTTTGGTTTAAAAAATAGCCTATTGTATCACAAATTTTGTTAAAGTTATGATTAATTAATCACTCGTATGATTACAGACCGAATTGGACTCCACTCAGTCCTGTTACCATTACTTAGCGTCTTGAACACTGGGGTGTCTTTCTGGACTGGAAGCCTTGAACAGGGTGCGGACACTTGTGGTGAGTGGTCTACTTGAGCGGTAATAATGTTTTTTAAAAAAATCTTATTCATTAATTCAATGATGTCACTTTCTAAAAGAGATTGAATTCTGTATGCGAAGCAAAATGAATTAGGGTCACTAGGAAAAAAATGTATCTTTTCCTGAACAATGTAGTAAAATGAACGGTGTTTATCTTAAACAGGGTCAGGGATTGAAGGGATTGGCATAAATCCCCACCTAAACCCTTCCCTTGAGGGACCCATGGGGGGATTGAGGGTATGCCTCTTCCCAATTTTGTTTTTCTAAAAGTTATGTTTTTCAATGCTGATTTTGCGCTTTGACTTAAATGTCTGTTGAATGACGGGTTTGGTAGAAACTGTAGTGCTTATGGTTATATCGGTGGAAAACACCAAATATTCTCTACCTCTTGCCTATTCAGAAGTCGACTTTACCTTTTTTCTGACAAGATCTTTAAAGTCATACGGGTACATCTGATCATTTGGCTTGCTAACAGCTGAAAAACAAAGATGACCGGTACAAACTCTCGCAGAACTAGTAATTTAAAAGGTAGGCTTTCATTTTCATATCAGTAAGAGTCATTCATGACGCTAGACCTAACGAAATTACGGCGGCGACGGCAACAAAAACACGAAACACAATAGATTTAGAGAGCAAAACAACAACTTTGCACGTGCATCACGCGTTTTTGTAAATTTCTTTGCCGTCACTGCACAACTACAATTTTAAGTTGACTTGACAACGGAAACGGCAAAACGATTAATTTTACCATCGCTAGGGAGCTTAAACCACAACGACGGAGAAAGCTACGAAAACGTCACTTAAGAAGTGAATTCGTGCTGCCTCAAACATAATCGCGCTTATTCCATCTCGTTTAATTCGTCAAATGTTGGCAATTCTTTGGGAGTTGAGTTCTGAAGGACTGTATCAAAGTTCAAGAAAAGAAAAAGAGAGTTGTTGTCCTGTGTTTCCGTCCTCGACAAAACGTGAAATTAGGCACTTTCACGTCGTAGTCGTGCAACGACGACAAAGAAATGTACAAAAAAGCGTGATGCACGTGCCGAGTTGTTGTTTTGCCAACCTAAACCTTTTTCATTTTGCCGTTCTTGTTGCCGTCACCGTCGTCGTTGCTTAGGCTCCCCAGCTCTCTGAACTCGAACGCCATCCATTCTCGTCATTTCCAACTTAGTTTCCCTACTTTCACTTGGTATGAGGGCGATTGTAATGTCACCTGAGCTAACCCAAGCCTGCAAATAACAGCCAGTCATCGGTCAAACGACCGACAAATTTTGGATTTTGACGGGCTAAAGCTTGGCCTGGTCTGTCACTCTCTCTTCCTTTTTTCCTTTTCTGACCTACCAGACTGGTGTTTTGACCCGCAAAACCTGGTCCTTGTCCAGTCACATGACCACCCTACAGCCAAAAGTTATTTGCAGGCTTGTAACCATGAGGTACTTCATTTAACTTACCACAAAAGTGATATTGGAATTTCTGTTTTGGAGCAGCCTTATCTAAGGACACGTCATGGTGAACCAGAGCTGACACAGCCAAGATCTAAACCACAACAGAGAATAAAAAGTCAAATGACCTGGAAATTCTTCTCACCAGAACTGGGAAGGGTTTCCCCCGGGGGAAGGACTCCTATATGAAAGCAGCGGGGATGCTCATCGTCTCGCTTAGGGGTGTAAATTTCGGGTTTTAGTCTCAGTTAGGGTGTTCTGGACAAAACGCCATTATATTTAGCCGTAAAGGTCTCTGTTAGTGTTGCACGCGAACAAATATTAACAAATTAAATATTTTTAATTCGTTTTATATTTTCTCGATTCATGTAATCAAAGTTTAAAATGGTCTCTCTTAGGGGTCAAAAAAAGGTTGGGCCACGCCCAGATTGGTCACCAATAGGGGTTTAATTCAAAGTTTCGGACGAGCATTCTTTCCTATGGGAGTCTCCCCCGCCTGCCGAGGCTTTGACCCTGGTTTTAAAAGAGGGGTAAGTATTGAAGCCCGTCTTCAGCGAGAACCAGGTTCTTAAGCAGCACCTCTTCTTAGAAAAAACGTTCACTATTCAAGAACTTGTTGATTGTTAATCCCAAATCACAAGCCCTGGTCCAAAGTCAATTCATCTTCACAGGAAGCCCAACAATTGAGGTAATCCAACTTCACAGGTAGCCCATCTCTAGCATTGCTGAAGGTATTCTTAACAGGCATCCCATTAATGCATTTCAGAAAGTAAAACGAAACATTTTTAGTGCTTGATTTTACTCATTGCTTACCTCGTGGGTGTGAGTCTTGGTGTTTAACATGGTCCTAAAACTAAGGCTCATAACAACCTACACAAAACATAATAATGAGAATGATATTGATAATGATAATGATGTAGACATATTAAATTCTGCAAGCAGAATACTGCAATGCTGATCGTACTACGTGAAAGTTAACTCTGCAAGACATTAACACGACACCAAAAGAACTCAAAACAGAATGGGATTGTAGCCATAGACAGCTGTTTCGCCCTTCTTGGGGCTCGTCAGTATGGTGCAACAAACAGAGAAAGGTCCGATGAAAAATATCCGCGCACGCTGATTTTAAGCCCTCACCTAGAACCCTTAACACCCATACCACGCCATACCACGTGTCTTCTGGGGGGCAAGAGTACCAGTGTCAGGTTGATGTCTCGCAGAGAAAATAGAGAATTGGCCAAAACCAACCTAAATGATAATGATTTTGGTAATGATAATCATACTGATTTTGTTAATGATAATCACAGTGATATCGATATTGATAATGATATTAATAATGATATTGATAATCATATTGATAATCATATTGATAATGATAATGATATTGATAATGACATTGATGATGATAATGATTTTGATATTGATAATGATATTGATATTGGTAATGATAATGATATTGATAATGATAATGATAATGATAATAACAATGATATTGATATTGATAATGATAACGATATTGATAATGATAATGAAAACCAGCAGCACTAGGTGTTAGCATGCACCCCTCTTCTTTACTTGCTCACTAATTTTGCTGTTACAATCTTACCATAGGTGAAGGAGGACTTTGTTCACTTGCCACTTCAACATGATCAGGTTTTGTGACTACAGCCTGCAAAATAGTAATAATGATTTTACACTTAATGAAAACAAAATAATGAAAAAAAAGTATTGTTCAGATACTAAACAAAAAATTTCCTACCTCAACTTTACACCAACTAACAGATTGCTGAGGGAGCTCTGATGAAGGCAAAAAAAATTATCTGTTTGAGTTTTTTTTCCAGTCTTGTACATACAGTCAACAACAACATACAACTCAGTACAAGGAAAACTTAGGGACAAGAATAAAATATTAATTTTTTCATTGCTGAGTATTGACAATTATTGTGTTGAGGTGTGGGTATTTTATGGGTGCTTTTTATATTACATCATATGGTAATTCCACCAAATTCAAAGCAACTGTTCACAACCATATTAAGGCCATCATCAAGGGCCAGGGACCAGGGATTTCCCCTGGCAACTATAAGCATGACACCTGGCTTCTTTCATAGAAAACAAAAGGAAAAGAAAACCAAAAGAACTTCTGAGCTGTTCAATATCTGGAAACTTTTGACATCTACAGCTGTAGCCCCTGCTTATCTTTAAAACAAGTACCATTACAGTAAAAACCCGCGAGTAAGAACCTGAAAATTAAGAACCTGTTAGCCTAAAATTTGCCATTTATATCCCCTATAAACAAGAACCTGTTTAGCCTAGAAAATGAAAAACAGGTTCTTATTTTTTAAAATCATATTATTGAAATGCAGCTGCAAAACTGTGCAAGAATCCTGTTTGGAGAATTAGGAACTTGGCATTGCTGTGCAAATAAAAGTGCTAATTTATTGATGTAATAAAAAAATAAAGTGCCAAAGGTTAATATCGTTGTATCGCATTTTGAAATTGACCAATAGGCTGATTACCATCTTGTTTTGTAGCTTGTTCTTTTATTTAATTTTTTTTACAGAAATAAGAACCTATTTAAGAACCTAAATAGCCTAAAATTGTGTTAACTACCATTTAAATAAGAACCTGTTTAGGCTAACTCCAGAAAATGTAGGTTCTTACTTGCGGGTTTTTACTGTACTTGATATCACAAGTGTCAACAGTCTTTCCTATTACGCTAGTGGCTAGTCTGTACATCAATAATACAATGGTGCATACTGAGGTTTTATTAACCATTTGCTAAGTAATGGTCAGTGAGAAGACTTACGAGGCATCTTAATATTGAGCCAACAAGGACCTTTCATCTTCCGACTCAGGAGAAGGAGTTCAAGGCTGAAATTAGAAGACGAAAAGATTCCTCCCCTAGTACCCTTACTGGGGCAGCAGCGTGGCCAAGTGGTACTCGCATCAGACTCCCAATCCGTCAGTCCCGAGGTTCGAGTCCCACTTTGGCCACTTGCTGGATTTGTTCTTGGTCGTCCCAAGTTCAAATCCTAAGCCACGCTTGTAAATAGCCAACTGGTTACCTCCTCCAAGTTTTTTGTTTATTCCTGTTATGTTCTATTTGCATTATTTGTTTCAGAATTATTTGACTGGAGTGCCTATAAACTAGCTGGATAAGCTAAGTGCACTTTCCGCTATAAAAAAACCTTTAAACTTTTTTTAAGCCTTTACAGCTTAGAGCCCATCCTGGCACCTTCCCTTCTCAAGTCTATCCTTACTGTCTTTATCAAATTCGGAAAGAGCAAATATCTTTCAACAAGTGACCTTTGTTAAAAACACTTCCAGCAACCAAATTATCACTTACAAAATCACATGACCTTTTGGAGTTAGATTCAGGGAACACATTTCCAACACTAAAGCAACAACAAAGACAGTGGGGGAACCCCCTCAAGTATTCAGGTCACGCCCTGGATATCGCCGCCTCCTCCTCCTCAATATTTGCAAGGGAAGATAACATGTTGAAATTAAGTGTCATGGACAACACTGAAATCAGTTGTTGGGTTCTAACAATAATTATTATGCCAGTTATGAGCTCCCATGATCTACAGAACTGCTCATCACCTGATTCACAGTATAAATCACTTGAAAAAAAAAAGAAAGATTAAAACTCCATCACTTGATAAAGATTCCAAGATGGAATGGAAAGCTTGTGTGTCTTAAAAAAAATTATTTTCACAAGTCTAAAAACTGGTTTACCGGTATGTTTGTTCTGTTATAACCTAAAATTTATCATCTCTCACCGAATATTTGACCTCCAGGTACTCTGATGTCACAGGAACATCTTGAATCTCAAATGCATAAGCCTTTTGGACTTTCTAGGGACATAAGTTACACACACCCATCAACAGAACTGCATAAAAGTGGCAACAATCAAAATTATTTAAACAATCTGAACTACCCTAGAAATGAACTTCATGATCTTGTGCTTTGTTGCAATCTTATCATTAAACTCCTGAAAAAGAAATAACAAGAAAGTGATGAAATTTAGCCCTCTCAATGTCATGGTTATTCGTACTATGATCACCATGGGAAGACTAAAAAGTGACCAACATCAATTTTCTCCTAACGAGATCATTGCACCATAAAGAGAAAATGTCAAGATGATTAATAACTTCCTAAGGTAGAACCCTTTCATCTTTTACTCTCTCCCTCTCAAGTAATTCTTTGATGGAATATGTGGAGATCAGTAGAGAGAATGTTGTATGAGGAGATCGGTGAACCTCAATACCCATTTTAATATGTGGAAGTTGGCCACCAAGGGTGGGGGTGGGGGTGAGTATTAGTCAAGAGAGCGCAGCTTTACTAGTAAAATTTAAAGGAGGGGGCTTAAATATCAGGGGAGGAGTTATTAGAAGGACTACAGCAGCAGATCCAGAAAATTCAGAAAGGAGTGGGCGGGACACTTAACAGCTCTACTCTAGATACTTTATATTTTTCTGAGACGAAATTCTATAAAAATAATATTAATTTTCAAAGGAAAAGGGGTGGTCGCGGCCCCCTTGGCCCACCCCTCAATCTGCCAATGGAATACAGTAATCAAAATTACTATGATTAAAATCAAATCATTATTTTTTTTACCTGGTAAACATCAATATACCCAACAGGCTCATCAGTTTCAGAACCATCAACTTCAAGCTTCTAAATAATATAAAGTAAAAAACATCAATTAATTTTAGAACACTGTTGGAACAGGTACAGATAATATTTGAGAAGACATGCAAGAAGAACTCAACAACTGCAGCAATGTTTTTACATTCATTCTCTCACCTTTTCTCTGGGGAGAATAAATATTTGTCTCTCAATGTTCTTGACTGCCACTGAACAGCTAATAAGAAAAAAGATAAATTTTTAATTGGCGGTTGCAAGTCCACTAAGTGGTCCTTCTGGTTTCCCATGTGGGATTTCCGAACTTATTTAAAGAGAAAAACAAAATGCAGATAAACGGTAATTACCTCATATGCTTTTGCAGCTTCAATCCAAACCTTGCCAAAAAGGTATACAGTACCTGTAGGAAACAGAATAATTCACAGAACATTCAAAACGTACAGTGAAGCTAGTGACGTTCTTAATAATTCAACTGTCCAGCAACCTTGACCAACTCTACCTGGTTGTTTGAATCTGTCCTCATAAGCATCAAACCAGTAGAATTTAAGGAATTTTTCCCCTAAGAGGAGAAAGAAAAAAATGATCTTTGTAAGAACATGGAGTGGGCAACAGATTTAGTACTTCAAAATTTGGCCAGAACTGGCATCACTAGTCAGACATCCTTGCAAGATTCCCTAGTTTCTTTCTGTGTCCCTTTTATATGTTGGCCTTTGTCAAGCCTTTCTATCTAAATGTTAGCTCTAGCAAAGATTTTCGCACTGTGGATGAAATCCCATCTGACTGTTCAACCTCTTAAGCAGCACTTTTACATAGGGTTGCTAGTTTTTCATCTTTTTGGAAAGTGAAATGTCAGGAGTCTTCTTGAATTTCGATTTCACCCATCGTGAAAGCAGAACTGGGTGAGGCCTATATTTTCACATTTTAATAATACATTTCAAGCTTGAAATTTGTTGATTGCGGATATGTTCACTAACCATCTACTTCTTTGAGTGGAAGAGAAGATGAATCCACATTAACATCCATCAAAACCTACAGCAGCACATGAAAAGAGAAAAAAAATACAATGTAAGCAGTTGAACCCTGTTAATACGGGCACTGAGGGGGCCGTAGAAAGTGACCGTATTAACCCTTTAAGTCTCAATAGTGACCAACATTCATTTTCTCCTGACAAGATCCATACAACGTCAAGAGCAAAGTCTATGAGAAATTAATAAAATGATCACAAAGAGAAAAATCTTTAATCTTTTATCAAATTCTCTCAACTAATTCTGTAAGGAAATGTATAGAGATAAGTCTGGAGAATTTGTATGTGGATATTGGGGCTTAAACGGTTAACAGGTTGAAATTAGAGAAGACGTAAGGGCTTTCATTCCCCAGGGGCAAAACTAACTGTCCGTAATAACGAGGTGTCCACATTAAGCACGTGTCCATTATGCAGGGTTTAACTGTACGCAACTTCAACAAAATTTGTTTAAAACAAACAGGAAACAAATTAAAGCTACACCATACTTTTCTCTGTGTTGTGATGAAGTGGTACAGAGAGGTATTCAGGGTGCAAAGGAAGTCAGTTTTACAGCCTGCCATTTGGGCAAGCTGTAGCTAACATGTACTAGTCTACAAGTCATTTCAGCTGGCCCCTAAACCCTTTTTGATTGGCTGGATTGACTACAATCTTTCTGTAATTTGAATTTCCCCCAAAAAACAGCACTTGCCCGTCGGGCAAGTTAAGAACAAAAATCACTAGCCCGATAGAAAATCCACTAGCCCCGGGCTATCGGACACGACTTTCTTTGCACACTGGGTATTTCTCATTGCAGAGAAAGAGATTTGATGTCATTTTTAAATAATTCAATGACTTCTTGTACAATGAAAGGCAGGGAGATGACTAAGAACAAAACAGATTTGCAATAATCTCTTGACACTTTTATACTTCTTGTTGTTGTGAATCTTCATTCCCTAAGATAGTTTCCCATCCTGAATCACCAGGAAGTTCTGTTGTTCTGCAAAGATCCATGCACTTATTATTACTAAATTAAGTTTTTTTGTGATATCAATATATTTTGAGGGCTAAACTGCAGAACAAGCATAATTTTTCTGCATTTTTTAGGCAAGGAAAGGCAAGCGCAAGGCAGGAGTGGAATGCAAAGCCTCCCACCATCACTTTATTACAGATAATTAAATAAAAAGGAAATCATTATTATTTAGCAAACTATGAATATCCAAAAATGCCCAGCAGTGCAGTGGACAGTAGTTTTGTCTGACTGTGCCCAAAACACAAGACAAGAACCCCTAAATGAGCCAGTTATTTCCTGAAAGTGGTCATGAAAACCAAATGGTACAAAGGTATCAGCTCAACTAGCTGTAACATAATCATTTCTCTGTTCAACAAAAATTATCTGCTGACAAGATCCAGCAAGTTCCAGTGACTTTGCTTCAAAACACATGTGACCACACCCTTCCCTTGACTTCAAAACACAAACATGACAATTATTACCTCCAGCCCCAACAAGGTTAAAAAGTCATATGATAATAATGCATTATTATTTCTCAGAAATATTTAAATTGTTTAGTGATGTCAATGAATGGCAAAATAAATATCATAATAGAATTGCATACTTCTGTGGCATAGCGCATCTTCTGTCATTTGGTTTCTCACTGGCCTCAACCTGAGAGGATAATTAAAGAAAAGTATATGAAGTACTTCTGATTGTTGAATAGATAGAGAAGTGAGTCAAGAGATCAACAAAATTTGACTGTAAAATAAAGGTGATCTTAAAAAGTTGGTCAGAGACTGAGAAGAATGATTAATTTTTTAATTTTACAATTTCTTGGAAAAGATGAATTCAGTAACTTAAAAAGTTTTTTGGTTTAAGTTTAAGGGAGTCTAAACTAAATTGTAGGAAAACAATCAGGTTGCTTAAGCCTGAACCTGCTACTTAGATTATTTTGAACAGGTTGGTGTCCTACAAAACAAGGTTAACCTGGTATTGAATCAATATGTTTAAGCAATATAGAATCGATATAGTAGGGTACCTTGATGAATAACCTGGTATTGAATCAGTATTGAATCAATATAGTATTAAGTACCTTGATGTGAGGTTTTACATCATGATTCTTTTCTGCATTTGATAAAGCCTGGAGAGTTTCTTCATTGCCAAGATCATCATCATCATCATCAAAGTCATCAAAACCAGCATCATACTCTGGCATGTAATCATATGAAGCAGGAACATCTAGCAGAGATTTTTCTGTTATTTACACATGTATGATTATAATTAAACTAAACCATGTTTAATGACAGCTCAGAAAAAGTTATTAGTATTGGCTGACATAATGGCCAATACTCGGTCAGTGTAATGGTTGACTATCTGTTGACATGTCAGTTAAGTCTTGGCTAATAATTATGTTGGTTGACATAAGTTATACCCATTCATCAGACAGGTTGACATATCAGCCGACGCGCAGCAGACACTCAGTCAACATGTTGGATGACACACCAGCTGACATGTGTGCCACGAATCGGCAAAACACATTGGCTGAGTGGTGGTTCATATGTGCACAACACGTCTATGTTGGTGACCAGTCCAAACAATGTCAGCTCATAGTGATGACCAATACTGATCTTCCTAACTGTGCCCAAAGATCCAATTTTACTTGCCCAGAGGAGTTCCATGGTTGTCTTAGTCTGTTTCATTATGCAAAGAGGACTTGACTGGGCTGCCCATGAGGCAAGTCAACAAGGAAAGTTACTTATAACTAGCAGGACTAATTTCCCGCCCTGCGAGTGTACACTTTGCCTTTAATAATCTGATGACAAAATTCTATCTTTTTTACCTTCCATCCCTGTATCCATATCTGTCATTTCAAGTTTTTCCTCTCTGATTTTTTCTCCAACCATTAGCCACCCTACTTTCTTTCTGTTCTATCACATGGCTCAGCATTACAACTTCACGCCGATTTAAGTGTGTATTTCAGAAATGGGCATAACTGCTGGATTTTGTACCCTGAAGGCTCAATTTATTCCTCCGGACTTTCCCTTCGAGAGTGCTCGTTTTGACTCGGTTAAAAGAAGGTGAGATTTTATGGCGGAAGACTCAGAAGGGAGTTCAAAGGAATTGAACAATGGCTTAATTAAGCTGCCCAGGGCCGCGAAGTTTTAATGGTATCCTTTTGTCCTAACTGTGTCAATAAAACTGCAGAGAATTATCGCACATATTGCGATAGAAGTTTATGGATTTAAGTCTTTCGCAAAACTTCTTCGACTTGGACACGTATTTTTCAAAAAGTAGAATTTTGAGAGCTTCAAAAAGAGATCTTGAACGAGAAATTTCGACCACTGTGGACCGAGATTGGATTTTTTTTTCTTGCCGAGGTTTCGAAGTACAAAGCAAGCCGCTGAAGCATTTTTTCTCGCCTATCGCTTAATAAAATCCGGCCGAGAGTTATCCATTCATTCAATCATAACAGTTATTCATTTCTCCAGAGCAATGAAACTATACAAGCGTTTCTACAAAATTATTTCGAGGAATTATGAACTCCGCAGGTTTTGATCTGTCAATTACAGCTCTTGTTTTGATTTTAGATATTTCCTGTCTCACTCGACTACTCCGCGAATCAAGTTGTCATGCAAATCGGTGAACTGACAATACGCGTTATTTTGGGCCCTGCAGTCACGTAACTGAAACGCAAGGTTTTGTTCAACAAAAAAAAACTGAAAGGCAAGCGAAAACATCCAAAAAAGTGAAATTACACTCTAATAAAACTGTGTCATCCCGTTAAATGCATTCACCGCTTGCGTTGGTTACATTTTGAAAAGAGTTGTTTGCTCTTGATTGCAGAGCTACTGAATGAATGAATGAAACATTCTAATAAATAACTTCCGCAGCAATTTTTTAAACGCCAAATTATTTTCAAGGCAAGAGAGTATTTAATAAAAAAATACTATTGGAGACCAGGTATTTATAAGCTTTAAACAACTTCAAATTTATCAGGCTTGTTTCCTTTGTAATACGGTGCGTGACCGAAAATATGTTATGCAACCAGAGTTGTCCGCCACGCTTAAAAGACTTGTAAGCGTTCCCTCAGACTGCAGCAAATTTAACAGGCAAGTCCGAGTGTTTTAATGGATAAATTTAATACTCATCAGGTAACAATGGGGATTAAAAAGTCAATCAACCAACAAAATTCGAAACAAAAGAGACATATCGCACCTAAATCAAAGGAATTCCGCTCGTGGATTCTTCGGAAGGTAATCGACAATGGCAAGAACAATAGCCTGAATATATGAATACTTGATAACCCCAAAATTTGGGGTACACACTTAAATCGGCGTGAAGTTGTAATGAGTTTTTACAGCCGCCACAGATCTTATCTTTGCTGTAATGTGACTGGGTTTTGGTGGGGAAGTAGGCTCCTGTTTGAAAAGGGGTACTCTTGGGTTAGATGATTCCTGTTGAATGAATTTATTAGCAAAATCACTGGAGGGAGTATTCAGTGAACTTTCTATAAACCTCAGCACTCTGCTTTCAAATGGCATCTGCCTTGCAGAGGGTTTAGGTGTGGATAATTAGCGTGATAAGTAGAAACTGTGCCATTCATCTTATAAGAGACCTTGGAGGTTGTGGGAGGCAGGGGGAAAGGTTTTCATGCCAAACTACAAAGTATAAACAAAACAAGATGCTTTGGGTCATTATAAGTATAAAGCCAGAACAATAATGTTTACAATGTTTACAATTAACGTAAAGTTATTGTATTTGTTGCGAAAAAGGTAAGGACAAAACTATGCTTGTTACCGAAGATTTCTGGAGTCGAAGTGACTCCCTCCGTAACCTCAGTGGAGTCATTTGAACAATTTTGGCGTAAAATACGCCAAATTTGCCGTATTTGCGAACCCTGGACCCTACATCTACCCACCCAACCGTTTGTCAACATCACAGGGCAACTGTGAAACATCACACTTTCTAGCTACAGTGTAGTGTAGGAGCCCCCAACCCATGTTTCACTCGATATCTTTATAAAGCTATTTTACACTGTAGCAGAGGTAAAATGATTTAGGAGTGCACTTTTGCTGTTAACGCTTGTCGCTGAAGTTTAAGCACAAAGGCGATGAACTTCTCACCATCATCAATGACCGAGTCCTCTTCCTGTCGCTTACAGACAATGTCTGAGTATTCATCTTCATTTACCACCTGATAAACATCAGCCACTTCACCAACCTTGAATAAAAGAATGAAAGCATGGTCTATAGCTACATGCATACATCAATACCACGTCAGCTTTCGGGCGAAAACATGATATCTTCACATGTGAAAATAACAAGTTATCTTCAGGTGTGAAAAGATCACCGCTACTGTGGCTACATGATAAATCACGCCTTTCAAAGCAAAAAAATATTAAAGTAAAATGGTTTGGTATTTCATTGATGTTTATTTTAAGCCTGGGGGGGGGGGACTCCCATATGAAACAGACGGGGATGCTCGTCGTCTCGCTTAGGGGTGTAAATTTTGGATTTTGGTCTCGCTTAGGGTGTTCCGGGCAAAGCGCCAATATTTTAAGCCGCCAGGGTCTCGTTCAGGGTTCTGCGAAGAAACACAGAATTACGCGAAGAGAAACAGAAGTCAAATTTTCTTTTTAACTTGTCTTGTTTACTGCATTACCTCTGTGATTATAAATCAAGTGCCAAAGAGACAATGCATGAACATGATGAAGAACTTGAGATTTATGACAATGCTTTTAAGAACTACTTTTAGATAAAAGCATTCGATGATTATGTCTTTATATCATTAAAACTCATTGCATGTCGTATTTGAGTGTTTTTAAGCGGTCTCTTTTAGGGGTCAAAATTTGCTTAAGCCACGCCCAGATTGGTCTCCCTTAGGGGTCACAAAAAGCTTGAACCACGCCCAGATGGTCTCCTTTAGGGGTTAAATTCAAAATTTCCGACGAGCATCCCCGTCTGTTTCATATGGGAGTCCCCCCCCGGGATTTTAAGGTGGCTCGACTGGATTTTTTTGGCGGGATACCTCCCACGTTTGAGCATTAACCACGTCGGCATGAGTAAAGATATGGGAAAAAGGTTACCACAACTGTATTATATAAAGATGAAAATATCTTATGATCTGGGTTTTATTGCAATCGGAGTCGCCATGGCAACATAATGACACCATTACGCTTTTTATTTATCTTTGTGTTTCTCTGTACCAGGAGTTTTTTGAAGAAACCGCTCAAGGGAGTATGTACCTGCCATATAATTGCCTCCATTATGGCAAAGTTTAAACAAATTCTATGAGAGCGTTTTCGAAATATTTTGACACACAGTTTTAACAATCATAAAAACAGTGAAATAGCATGCTATCCACACAATTCACTAATATTTTAAGAAACTGATAAGGTTTGGAAACGCGGCTTCATACCATAGTGGTTTGATTCCATTGAAAACTGCATACAAAATGAGAGGGGAATTGCTCTGAGCGATCGCGAGTGAGAAGAATTTTATTAACTTGCATTCACCTGCTTTTGATACAGATTTTGGACATAATTTGTTCCATGCTTACAAGTTTTGCATTTTTCAAAAAACTGCTCAATAATTTTTTTTATAAATTCGACAATCTCGAGATCAATCGTCAATAAATATTCCTTGCAAGTTTCAAGAACATTGAAAACAGGG